TAAGAGATACAGCAGCCCTGCAAAGTGTGGTGTTACCAACAGGCTTTTTGCTCCAGTTTTATTTTTGACTATCAAAAGGGGAAGACAAGAAAAAAAAAAAAAAAAAAAAAAAAAACTGCATTTTAGCTGAGGTATTGCATGTCCTCTGGGGAAAGTCCTGCTAAAAGTTGTAATTTGTGTATCTCTAAAAAAGAATGACATCCGGTTTAGGGCAGTAAAAAGAGTCAGTACAAAAAAGAACACTTCAACTTACTACAGAGGTCTTGAACCACTGAAGTAAAAGAAATAAGTTAATATTGAAAGCAAACCAAGCTTTGCTGAAATAGTAAGAGACTCTAACAAGAAACTGCAACAACATTGTTATACACACCTTATACTCAATGAGGTGCCAGAATCACCCAGAGCCCAAAACTAAGGTGCAGCAGAATTTTAGCGTGGCACAGACCCTGAAATTCTCATTTTTCTCTGTTTAATGTGGGAGGTGGTAACCTGACAGCAGCAAGTCTGGCAGCCAGAATGGGAACATTAACAGGTTGGCAAAATGTCACGTAACATCTTGCCAGTGCTGTGCTTCCTCCCAGGCAAACCCCTTCTGCCTACCCAAAGGACCTCCCACAAGTTGCAAAACAAGTAGGTCTACCAACGTAAGGATAGGAGTCCTCTTTAAATTAGGAGAAAATATTTTTTATTTTCACTTTCCCAGGGACTAGTCTGGGTATCAGAAGTGTTCAAACTGGGTATTAGATTAACAGATGTAAAAAGAACCACAAGAGTTTGTGTTCCAGGCTTTTTTCCATTTAATCCAGCTAGAAAAAAAACCATCCTTAATAAAATCCCAGACTGACTGGTCTAAGAAAACACAGGACATTGAATCTTGCTTTCAAAATACATACATTTTGAGAAGGGATTTTTGTTGAAAAAAATAAGTCCTGACCTATTGTTGATCCTGCTAGCAAATGATACATATTAATAATTTAACTTCTATTTAAAAACTACCACTTCCTGAAACCTTAATTGAACTTAGCCAGCCATTAGCTATGGTTCTTATTGACTGAGAAATAAATGGTAATTGATTGTCCTGACATAATTAATTGTTATTGTATTTTTCAGGAATTTAGGCTCATTTGTGCAGGCTACTCTTTCCACAATGTTTAGAAGATTTAATTAATATTCATATCAATATTTTAAATAAGATAAGCTCAAGATTCTGGGAATTACAGTGTAATGATTTTCATGGCTGAGTGGCCCCAGGGAGATTAAATTATATTGAAAATTTTAATACTGAGGACATTTGATTTGTAAAGCACTATATACCTTCCTAAGATAACTTTGGAAAGGTTTTACACTGAAACTGTAAAATTTACGCTGCTCATTTCTGGATGCCCTGGTGGAGCAGGGCTGGCACAGGTATTGTCTACTCCATCTCACCCTGTGCAGCTAATTCCTTTATCAACTCATTAAGGAACATATTTGATTTTTTTTCACATATAAACTCATTCAATTCTTTTCTTCTGATGAGATAAATAACAAATAACAGATGTGACTTTAATTGGCATCTGGAAAAATAATCTCAGATGTCCACTGGATTTTATGAGGCAATCAATGCTGTCCTATGCTGTCATGTCCCTCCTGTACCAACACTTCCTTGGGTTTATGGAGTGCAGATTACCTGAGAGAAGGTGCTCAAAAACATGGTGGCATGGGAGGTGGAGGCCCAGAAGAGAGGAAGCGAGAGACCAAATGATGGGGTAGGATCACATAATGCTCACCTCCTTAGAAAGTCAGTGCTTAAAAAACTCACTTTATAACATACTGTTCTATTCAAGCATATGGGTTTTAATTTTAGGAAAGGATTGCCTACACAACTCCAGGCAAAAGCACCCTCCTCCACACCAGCACTCTTGATTCAGATGAGGAGTTGGCCCCAGAACCCACCTGCTCCTCCTAGTGTTTGCAGAAGCTGGCAAAGGAGAAAGGGTGGCCTGAAACCACTACCTACCAAGCCTTTCGTGCAGATATTCTGAGGTAACTTGTGAACCTTCTATGCTTAAAAAAGCAGTTTCCACTCACTCTGAAGAAACCATGTTTTGGAAGCAGCTCCATGGCATCTCCAACCACTCTTGCATTTTCTTCATTGTTATTAATCTGAAGAGTCCCTAATGTTTCCAATTGATTAAATTCATGCTTTTAAGCAAAGTTAGATGGAAAATAAGTTGTCAGAAACACATATTCTTACACACAGCACTCACAGGGTTCTGTGTGAACACTTGCTGACTTGACCTTCAGAAAACTGATGGCTTCAACAGCGGGTTGGGGAAGCTGTGCCCAGGAAGTCTCAGCAAAGCAGCATTCCCTCAGGATGAGGGAAAACATGCTGTTTGTTGAATAGTTATGCCATTAGCAGATTACCAGGGACACTGAATTAGGGATTCAGAGGTATTACATGTCTGATTTTTAATTAATGAACTGATTTACTCAGAGGATAGCGTGACTGCCAGGAGAACGTATACCTGCTGTTACACTGATGTCACTAGGCAGCAGACAGATTTTTTTTCAGAATGAAATTGAAGAAAGGAAATTGCACTTGGCAAAGTGTAATTGGGAAATGATGGTTGGGGACCTGAGAAGGGCTGAAAGCTTTGAGGTATAGGAGAGGCAAATAGCAGCTAAAGGGCAGAGTGGAGGAATGAGTTCAGAGGGGCAAGTGCAGGCACAGCTGTGCACTGCTGTCAGGGAAAGGAAATGGAAACTAAAGCCCAAGCAGAAATCCTGCTGCCTCAACGAGGCATCTGCCACATCCCAGGATGTCCCATTTCATCACCGTGACATCCATCCATCTCTCCCGCTATAAAAAGAAAGATGCACTTCCGTGTAGATCCCTTCGGTTCTCAGCTAAAAGAGAAGGATTCGGGCCAGCTGCTGCTCTCGCTCATCGGTTGTGCATTCGGCCAAGACAGAAGCTATTGCGCCTGCCTTGTGTTTTGTCATGCTCACAGTACAAATTCGATCCATGATGTCTTCTGTGCGGAGATAATCAAGGCCATGGTTCTGCTGACACAGGTTATTTTATTTTCAAAAAGTACGCTTAGAAATATGATCAGAACTGCATTTATTTAATTAGAAAATAGCCTGCAATAACTCCAAAGGAAATGGTACTAACAACTAGTTAAATACACAGACAACTCGGGCTAATGCTGTACTCACATCCACTTCCAGGATGGGTAGATTTTAATCTAAACACAAACCTTCAGTGGCCTGAATGGCATAATTTTAAAATAACTTTCCCACTTTTTCACGCTCACTTTTCTAATATTCTAATAACAGGAAATGAAGGAACTGCTTATACTGCCAATAGTTTCATTTTTGCCTTTGTAGTTTGTCACCCCATCCAAACTAAACCTCTTTAAATAATTCACTATTAGATTTTGTGTTTGAGACAAGACATCTATACGGCCCTTTTTGCTAAACTGTCCAGCAGTAACTCTTACTAGATTTGCTTCTAGGGATTTGCATTGGGACTTCTAATTTAAACTCTTTCCTGTCTAATTTAAACCCTTTTTTTCAGGTGTTTAAGAATTTAGTCATGGGAGTTAAAAATTAGCACAATTTCAGTCTTTATCATCGCTACTTGGTGTCACCAGTACGAACAGATTGATTATACATCACAATTACTAAAATATATATTGTGGTATGAAGTTCACTCATTTCTCAAACTCTTCTTAAAATGATTAAAAAATTCTCCAAGTGCATCTCCCAAGTTAAGGCTTATAATGCAACCACTTTTTCCACATTCTTTGACTTCTTATTCACACAAACCTAACATACAGGCAAGATGAACTATGGGAAGCCCATGTTATTGTTAAGTCTAATTGCTAGAGGCGATTGTGGAGAGTTCACAGTGTCAATACAGCATCATACATCTCCTTATGCACTGCAGAGTGCCATCCCCAGTGGTGTCCCCTACTTTACCTCACTGGCTCTTTCTCCTAATATAGTCTCTCATCCATGCCACAGCTTTCATTATTACAACCAAGCGTTCTGGTTTAGATAAAGAAATTGAATGCACATGAAACACTCAAAATTAAAGTACAGACTTCAACCCTAAGAAATGTGTAATCAGCAGGAATTTATTGTGTGTTAAAACTGGCGGTGCTGACCTCTGAGCATTCTGGGTTATGCATAAAAATGCTTCTCCCACGTATGATCAGCACAATAGGATCCCAGCCACAAGATTATTGCCTTCATCAACTGATTTAAGTTACTATACACTATATTTTTCCTTCTGTATATGCCATTGATTGTAGTTCCTTTTACATCATGTCTTGTGTTAAGTACCAGCCTAGTAGCTCACTGACCTACAACATGGTAGTGGATGATTGCCTGCAGAATTGCCCTCTGGCTTCAGATCCTGGCATGGAATCAACTCAAATGAGTGTTTATCTGGGCTGGTGTTAGAGAGGTTCAGTATATACTACTAAGGAAAAATGTGTTTGTTTTACTGCCGCTTACTGTGGAAAAATGGGCACTACTGTATATTCTGTTTTAACGACTGTTGTTACTATGGATGCAAATGTAAATCTATTTTTACATTTAATACACCATATGCCAGCAAGATCCCTGCAAATGTAAACACCTACATGCACAGTGACCTACTTACATGTGGGCTTGCACATAGCCATATAAAGTATGTTTAAAAGCTGTATTCAAGGCCTCTAATATGAAACAATTTTCAGGCAATGTGTGGCAGACTGAATAGAAATTATGCTTGACAGTCATTCATCCAAATTTTATTTAGTTTAAACATACAGAGTTCTAAAGTACAAAGGCTTACAGTGTGCCAAAGACTTGCCATTGTATTGTTTTCAATGGGGAATTTTGTTTTAGATTTGATGACATTCGTAGCAGCCCACATTCTGAGTGGATAGTATCTAAAATTCAGTGTCATGATGTTCAAGGATTTCCATCGATTTGCAGACACAGAAACAATTCAAGGACTTACATACATTGAATGCATTCTGTTTATTTGAGAAGGAAGATCTCATACGAGTGCCTGTTATGGAAGGCATCTCTTATCATGTACAATAAAATCAACCATTGCTTCCAGCAGAATACAAAAATACACATCTCAGTGACTTCCATACAATAATAAATATGTATCATGCATCCAACAATAAAAAGGCACGGAAAACTGGTCACTTAGTAGTCATAAAAATTACTAACTATATTAACAAAGCCACCCAAATTATCTGTACAAGGAAATGTAACAATATATTCCAAAGGTGAAAACACATAAAACATCTTTAAAATAGTATATGCAATAAATACCTCAATTGTTTTTTTATATATTAAAAATAAAACTGTGCCATTGTAAACAGTATGTAAACAAACAAAATTCACTGTTCCTTACCATTATTACAAGTAAATAAAGCCAAAAGTTACACCCCTGCTCTGTTAGATATACTTCATTGGCAAGTTTTGTCAGGCAGTTTAAAGTTTTACTCTTTTCTGCAGCAAACAGAGCCCGCTATGTGTGTAATTGTAAGTACTAGAGCAATTGCTAAGCTTCAGAACTGACTACCTAGAATATAGTAGGTCATCAAATAGTCAGAACTGAAACTAGGAAAAGCAATTTTTGCAGTGTTACGGACAAAAGTAATTTATTTATACTACATATAATAGTGTCAGTAAAACTTAGCTGCTTATATACCACTGCTCTCCTACAGGTCTCGAGGGGGCTGTACAAAGGTGGAAAGCATCCTTACTCCCACGGGCGGAGAAAGTGAGGCACACAAAGGTTAACTAACTGAGTCGCCCCCAGTCTTGCACCAGCTCTGTGGCAGGAAACTAAAGGCAGAAGCCAGACCTCCAGCCACTTCCTCCTCATTTCCTCGCATATCCTTTACTTGTCCTGGCCTTTCAGACAAATAATGGTGTGTCCTGAACTCCAGTCCTGATTATAATTACAGAAAGATAATGAACATGCAAAAGGAAGTTCTCTGCTCACTTGGGTGCCCATCTGCTCCCACTAATAACCATGGAGGTTTGCCACTGACCACAGCAGGAGCACAATAGGAGCTTTTTTCCCCCCAAATTTGTAATCAGATCCACATTAGCTGGCCAGTGAGCCCAGGCAGAGCCCTGTGTATCCTCCATGAGTCTACTGGCTGCCTTGACTGTTCATGCTTTTGAGGTCTGTTTCTATAGCCAACAAACTCCTGGAAAGTTCAGCCAAGGTGCATATTTACTTCCTTATTAGCAAGGGGAAGCATAAGAATCTGAATATGATCCTTTCTTAAAACAAAATTACAGCAAAAGAATCCTGCAAGTGGTGGGCATTCTGCACAGATGACTTCAGAAAGCCTCATGGGAGAATACGACTGGCTTGCTATTTCTTCAGCTTTTGATAACATTGGCATAACTACCTAATTTTACAAATCCTACTGTATCTGTGGGATGACTATCTATGATTAATACAAACTTACCTGTTCCAGACACATATATTTCAAAGTGCACGATAGCTCATTTGAAAATGATATTTTTAGCTTTAAATGAAGAAATTAAGATGCATCTGTTCAGCTGTTTCACAGCCTTGTGTCTTTTTTTCAGGAAGAATATACTTAAGAGTGTATGCAATTAAAAGATACCCTGGAAAGGGATTTAGGAAGCGCTGCATTAAGGTATTTTTCCTCCTTGGTTCTATTGAAGAACTGATCCTTCTGTTACTTAACAAGTGATTTCTCTAATGTCAAGCAGTTGTCTGATTTGCCTTATCACTTAATATTGTCATAATGTTATTAATCTGTGAAATAAAAGAATCATTCTCTAGACTGGCTCTGAAGATACCTCCATGTCTTGATGAGAAGTTTAAAGCCATATACTATATAGCTTTTTTTTTTTTTTTTTTCTGATAAGGTACTTCTGGATATGGTACTTCAAGTGTCTCATTCCAGATCTGCAGAGCCATGTGAGCTGTATGAAACCAGTATTTTATTCATCAATAAATAGTTCTTCATTTTCACCTGCCATGCTGCATGTTCTCTTTGTAGAAAGAGGTATGAAGGGTGATCTGGTTTTAGAAGATTCTGTATTAAATCTTACAAAAGCTATTTTAGAAGGTATTTTCTTAGATATATTCAAGGACCAGACCAATGAAAAATTCTGTATATTCTCTGAGGCATATATTCCCACCTGTGTTGTAGCTTGCAGGTTCTGTAGAAAAATCCAAATAGGAACTGCAGATTTCACATTGGGAAAAAAATAAATACATTTCACTCATTTAAAAAAAATTATCACAGTAGGAAAATAGCCAGTAAACAATAGATTCAGAGGGGTTTAATCTTGGCCCCAGTGAGATCAATGGGAGTTTTGCCAAGGATTTCATCAAAGCCAAAATCTCACCCAGAATCATATACAATTCTTTAGCTGACAACAATCACAAACATCCTGCCACTCTATTGTATAAGTTAAATATTAATCAGCATCTGTAAGCATCTGTAAACATCTTGCAATTCATTTGATATAAAAAATACTATAATAAAAACAATGCAGCATCTCAAGCATTGTATAGTTTTAAGTTTTTTTGGCTCTACACACAAGTTGGCATCGTTATATTGGGCAGAACCAGGGTACGTATATACATATATATATGTACAGGTGTGCACGCACATACACACTGCAAACTAAATACTACATATATACACACATGCACATGTAAATACTGGCAAGAGAACAACATTCATAGGTATGGCATTTAAAAGTCTACCGATGGTCAGTCTGATGTTAACTTTTATGCATGAAGAGTTTCTACCTACGCAAAACCTTTGTAGGCTTACACATAAATGCTAAAACTAAAATACATGAGCAATCTCCAAGGGGGACTGAAGTGCTGTTTAAAGCACATGCCTAAATCCCAACTGATCTGCATGTTTGCAAAGATGATGAATTTTCCTGTGGAGTGAACAGAGGAAACAAAGGGCAGAAACTACAGAGCATGCAGCAATTTTTACCTAAACCAGTATGGATCACATTAGATGTTTTCATTTTCTATTGACTATGTTTTTGAATTGGGTAGAAATTGTGTGTTTCAGGTTTTTGCTACAAAACATGTCAGACACAAATATGAGTTAGAGAAAACTACACAGTGTCACATCTCTGCAACAATTCCATGTGCACTTTATGCATTCATTCATGCAAGTAAGTGGATGTTAATACAGAATTAACTAACAGCTGTACTTGACCAGAATACTAATTTTAGTGACAAGCCTGACTAATGAGAGAAATCACCCATGTTGGTCTCAGGACCTTTAAAATACCTTTAGATTAAATTTGCTTTTTTAAATGCCAGAACATATACTGCAAGTACAGTCATGAGATTCCACAGTGCTCAGCATTTAAAGATACCTGCTCTGGACATACAGTTACAACAGTGACAAGTTTTGTTATTCCTAACTGATATGTTTGCTATCACTGTGAATTAAGACAGGAAGCTGTTATTATTAGATGGCGTTAAATGATTCAAGTGTGATAGCAGAAATGAAGAAGGACCAGATATCTGTTGCAGAGATCAAGCCCTCTTCACCTCTCAGAAGGTCCTCAACGGCTTGTACTCTTTATGTACAAATCCCATCTATTGCACATCTCATCTTCTGCTGTGAATAATACCTTGCCCTTTGATGATCCACCCAACATACAAGTTTCAGCAAACTAAATTACTAGATATACAACTGACAGCTCTAGGGAAGTCCCATGTTTCAGCTCTTCTAGGATTCAATGGACATGATTGTAAGGGAGTGGCTAGCTTTTTCAGGACAAATTCACAAGCTGTCTTCTTTAAGGGGAAAAATGGTAATTTTTGACATATATGGAGAAATGCATTGTTCAAAGTACATGTTTTAAGGAGACAGAAATCCAGGACAGAAAGTACAGACACCACAAGTAACAGATGCCTGTAGAAAATCCTCTGAAATCTGGCTAAGCAGTACAGTCCAAACGCTTATTGCAATATAGAGAAGACATCTTGTGAGAGGACAGTGCCACTAGAAAGCTTCACAGTGAGTATCCACATGCCTGTGTGCTTGTTGTAAACCTTCACAATCTGTCCCAATAGAAAATCTTATATTCTTAAAATTTTAATGAAAAGCCCCCAGATCCTACTTGTCAGCACATGTGCTCTCCTTGTCCCGGAAAAGCAAGACCAAGCAGCTTCAAATGGCTTTCTTCAACCTCCGCGTTTACAAAGAGAGTTAGTCCCAAACAGGGTTTTACCTCAGCTAACATGGGGAGAAAAACATAGTCATATCTGTAACTCTTTCCCTTTTAATGACATTGTCAGGTTAGTAATTAAACTATAAGTTTTTCTATCCAATTAATACTTTAGTTTAATAAAAGTAAGACTTAAAATGCTAATTCACTTTAAATATTCATAGTGGGGATCTGGGGCATGGTGTGAATTTTATTTCCAACATGAAAACAAACTACTCAGTTTTACTTTTAGTTCATTTCTTCCTGGTTTCATCTTCCAGTCCACATGCTATAGTATAACACAGCTATGCCTGGATCAAACACAGCTTCCTAAAAGAATTGTTTCCAAAGAATCTGAAAAAATAATAATTTCAAATTACTTTAAACTTTGTACCATGTTGCTTTTACCTTCAGTATCTTTTCAATCTTAACACTAATCTTTCAATCACACTACAAATGTATTTTTCCGAAGTGTTTTTTCCATAGAACAAAATGTAGATTAATCACTTCCATACTTGTCCTACTAATAGCTACCACAATTTCTAGTATTTTCAAAAGTCTTACACAGCTGCTGGAGTTAGCTAAAATGCCTGTCTTTCCAAGGGCATGCCAGTAGCTAGTGTTAATTGTTAGTGGTATGGCAAGCCAAATATAGCTTTCGGCAGGGATTGCAAGAGTATAATTTAAAGGATTTTAGTCCACCATAGCTATGCTAGTCTTTGGAACTTGGAAGCCCTGGTCAACCTAGCTCTCCTGGAGCATCCTACAGCTTTTTCCTAGCCTGCGTGTTCAGCTTTTCTGAAAAGAACTGGGGAAGACTTGCAAGGGTCTCATCTTGCCAAGCGGCTGGGAAGTCATCCAGACACAGGAGCTGGGAAGCAGTGTGGGAACATTAATAGAGACATGACCTGTGTTAAAAATTAATTTGCACCAGTTTCTTCTTCCCTCACTAACATAAGCAATAGGTTATATGAACTCAAAATCCCACCAAAGAGTTTAAATAAAAAGTGTTTCTGTCAACTGGGAGACAAAGTCTTCAATTATTCAAAATAGACATTTATAATTCTACCGTGTACATGTATGAATTTTCTGTTGACTGCTCTGAAGGTGGTAGGTCTTTCACCACTACTGATAAATTAATTACAATTTGTCCAGGAATCTCTGGCATCTGTAATTGCCAGCATTTTGTTAGTTTGCCAAAGTGTTAACAGTACTATTTACAGATGATAAGGGGATCATGTTTTAAGTTTAATGCTACAGACTGAAAAAAAACCCCAACCTTTCAAAACCTTTTTTTTTTCAGTTAAAATTTTGAGGGCTACCACTATTAAGTCTACAGAAGTTGCTATGTATTTTGGTATTAGTTCCAACTGGCTACAGAAGTAGTTTCCTGGAAGACTCCAGATGGCTTCCAAACAGAATATAATTTCTGAGAAACAGACTGGGCTTCTGTATGGCAGAAACGAGTAGTTCAAGTACATAAGCTAACCTTTAACAGAGCTATTAAACCTAATGCAACAGTAGTAGAAAAGAACTAGAAAATATTTTTCTTTTTGTAAAAAAGATCAAGTTCCACACTATATTCTATATATAAACACAGGAATTTATACAACCAGTAAAGATCTTCTATTGATAATTACCAAATGATGCTTTATCAATCCTTCTGACACTACTATTTATCTCTGAAGAGGCAGCAGAGATAATTTTAAGTCCTGTCCAAACTCTTCAGCTTCCTGAAGTCATCAAAAACTCCTCCTTTTACTTAAGACAGCAATACAGTCATGTACAGTTCCTGCAAACATGAAATCTTTGCAGTTAGAATAAGCAGCATCAAACCTCGATGATATGAATATCATACCACAAAACATACAATCTATGAAAACAGAATCAAAAAAAAGGGAGAGCCTGTGGTATAAACGTAACACTCAGAACACTGCAGTTGAGAGGTACTTGTGTTATTGGGGTGAAAAAATAAGTTTATAATTACTCATATAATCTTCTGTGGCTTTCATGTACTTACACAAGTGACAAGATGATTTCCTGGTTGTAAGCTAAATATATTGTTGCAGCTCAGTTATCCTCAACAATATACATCACTTGTGATTTTACCTTTCACAAAGACTTTTTGCACTACTAAATATTAGTTACCAGAGCTGTCAAACTTATGTGCAAGAACTTAATACTTAGGGGCACAGAGAGAACAATGGAGAAACAGTAGCAAACATTAGTAATGCAATCATTAATAGGAAGCATCAAGCAAAATGAAATCACTGAGTGGGTTTTTGTCTTACATGTCCATTGTGGAATTACCGAGGTATAATATGTAGTTTTACATCTATTTTTAAAGTGGGACTATGGAACATCCTCTCATATTTACTTTATATATTAATTTTCCATTACATGTGAAGAAGGTCTCCTGCCAGTCTTTCCAAAAGGAAGACTAGATGTACTGAAAAACCCTGATAAGTTCACCCTTGAAATAAGATCTGTTCATTATCAAGGCATTATGAAATTTTCATTAAGTGAATTAGCATCACTGAGTTCAATTAAAAAGTCAAAATTAGCAGATGATCTATTTTTCTACAAAAAGCATAGGAAAATATGAAATGGGCCATTATAAAAAACCTAATTCCTCTTGTTTGAATTACACTCACACAACAATGCAGTATTAATCTTTTTGGGCAGGGATGGAGAGAGAAAATTATTCCTATTTATTATTTACAGGACCAAGCATGTTTACTCCAGTCCCACAGTAAGAAATACTGGATTGAAGTAGTCTGGTAGGATTTTTGATCACACTCTTTACATTTTACTGTTCTTTCAAGTTTAAAATATTTTTCTTTGAAAGAAAGAGATGTTTGGGAGAAAAAATAATGGTTAAGTACATAAAAATGTGTCATAAAGAAAAGTTGCAATTGCCATCATACAAAAAATTTCATTTTTGAAAAGTTTTTGCTTTAAAGTGTTGTAAAAAATCCTCAACACCTACAACCATGACTCTGCCTGATTTCATTCTGTTTCTAAGAAGGCATTAGGCATTATAAAGGCAATACTTGCATGACCGGAGTCAGAGGTTGCTACAGCAATTGAATACAGTGAACTGGGAAAATCCTGTTAGAAAATGACAAAACAGAAACATGCACTTAGCAATCTGCTGCCATTTTAAAACATGTATTTCTCCTCTTCCTCTTTCTGAGGTGTAGGGTACTTCATCTATATGAATAGCAGCCACTTCAAAAAAATGATGTTTGTGCTGTATTCCTTTCAGATTTTAAGGTATGCTGACTGACTCTTGATGAATCTAGCATGTTGAATTGGGGTCCACAAGATCTATTGGGATAAATTCTTTTCTAAAAAACTAACTACTTTTAGGGGCATGTGCTTACCTTATTTTTGTTGAAACACTGGGATGTATGCTTTGAAGCACTTTAAACATCAGGATTAAATTATAAAGAATTCAGTTTGTTAAAAATGTAGCTATGGGTGTCCTTAGATCTGGGAGCTGGGACTTTTACAACAGTAAGGAAAAAAAATGATACTTGGAAATTATAATAATCATCTGATAGTAACACTGTGTTCAAAAGTCTGTCTGTAGAAAAGCCAGATCACTAAACAAGAGTTATGACCCATGACCTTGGCAGAGAAAGCCCATGAAATATTTTGAGTCTCCTTGTCAGATGCATTTGGATTTGATAGCCAACATTAGTCTAAGGCATAGGGTTGCATAAAATTTGCTCTCTTGGGCATCTAATAAATACAACATAAATGATGCTTCCAATTTTTATTTCTCCTTGCATGTTTAAAAAAACCATCTGCTTAGGACAATCAAAGTTAAATTCTTTGGTCATTTAAAAACAAAACAAACCAACTGTACAAAGACAATTGATCAGTTGTCCTATACTGAGGTAATTTGAGGAGTGCCCTATGAAAGTTGCCTTACAAACAACATTTGCCCATTTTCCCTCCCTAAAAGCAGCTCCCATTTTTTAAGATGCTCAGTGTAGAACTCTACAGTGACCTGAAGAGATCTGTTCCATAGCCTGTCTTAACACACTGCATATAGCAAGGCTGAAAATTGTAAATAGAGTGTATCCTACAATCAGGAAAGCAAAGTAGGTTCTTCCACATACTATGTCCTTGAATCGACCAGGAAGATTAACTACACAGTCTACTGTAACATCCGTATATTAGAATGCTGCCACACATTAAAATATAGCATAGCTTATGGAGAAACAGAGAGAAAAGGACATACAACTTGCAAAGACTGGACAGATGCCATCTGGACATCATTAAAGCAGAGAATGTCAAGTACATTAAAAAAAACATATAATCTTTCCATTGTTTGCCTAACTTCCATTGTTTGCATATGCTTTTCATACAACAGCATGAAAATCATGTCACTTGGCAAAGGGATTTTGGTTTGTTTTTTTTATGGAAAATCTAATGGAACATAGCCTTTCACTTTTATTTGTTTACCAGAATAATCAATTATGTCCACAGAGCTCCCAGAGTGGTGCCTGTTGAACCTACAGCAGCAAGAGCACACACTACTATAATTGGATATAAACAAAGCCTGTTTTGCTCCTTTCAGGTGTTTTTTTGTGTTTTTTTTTTTTTTGCAATAAAACAATGAGGGGAATAGATTTTACTTTCCAAGGGATGATTCCCACCTACTTCCCAAGGAACAATTCCCATCATACTCATGAGAATGGGAGGGCAAAACCATTTAATGGGAAAATAAGATTTGCAATAAACAAATGAAACCTTACTCTGCTGCCTATGAGGAAAACATAAATATATATTAAGATACTCTTTAACTGTAAGTAATGTCAAAGCCACTCAACTAAGTAAACGTCAAGTGTTCCTCGTGCTGCAATGACACGTTGTTAGGAACAGCAAGGAGACAGCGATTCCGTGCAAGTTTTCTGGCAGGTGGTGCAATATCATCTCATCTCAAACATTTAAGTAGGTTTCTCTGTAGATATATGCAAATTATTTTTCTACTAGATTAATAGTTTTCTGAAAAATTAAACAGGAAATTCAATTATGAAGATATGTTTCATTTAAGTAAACTGTCAATAACCTTATAAGCTCTGCTTTGACAGAATTTCTAAACAAAGATGATTTTCACTTTTTAACCTGTTGACACTCATGGATTACTGTCTTGCATGTGATTCATCTTTGCATGCATAGTGTAAAACCTCAGAGTTCATTTTTAAATTTTTATGGCCTACCAATGTAGGAATGCTGACAAAAACCAAATTGATACCTTTGTAAAGAAATGCATACAGAGACATTTTTAAATTAATAGTTAATTAGTAATGAGTAAAAGCTTACCCCACAAAAATCAAATCAGCTGCTACATTTTAAAACTCTTCTTATGCATGATAAATAGAATTAATTTTCCTGTAAAAAATTTTCTTTAATCTTTAAACCTGCTTTTTAAACAGAATAAATAAAACCATTAGTGCCTAAAAGTTCAAATATGCTACAGATGTTTAAGATAACAGAATAACTACATTAAAATGCACCATGAGAAAATTCTTTATCATTTTCCATGCAGGAAGCCAACTGATATTTTTGTGAGGTACCGGTCTTTCAAAAATACTCATAAGTTAGTTACCTGATATACCTTCTGTACATGGTATATTTAAAAATCTAACTGTACAGTGTTTCAATCATATATAATGCATATAATCTGCTGAATATGGCACAAATGCTAAGTTTCCACACCCACACATCCTTTGCTGTAGAACACATTTTAGGCATAACACAACACTGAAGAATAGAAAAGTGCCTGAAACGGGAAAAAAAAAAGACACTCAAGTAGTAATAAATTAAATCTCATTCAAACCGATATAAAAGTTGTTCAAGTGTTTAAAGTATCAGATGTGTCATGCAACAGAACAACAGACAATTCAGGCAGGCACACCATGCATTATAGTTTGCATTCATGGTATCACAAGGTATCTGTCCTCCCTTCTGCGTGGCCAGTGAGTGAGCGCTGGGTACCTGCGGCACTGCTAGGCCCACGTGTGGAACCTCCAAAACCTCCTGATCTCCTGCACAGGAGGTTTTATGGAGTTATGCCTTGGAAGGATAACCAGGCAACCTCATGCTGTACAGTGGTATCTTGCTGCAGCATAAAGAGAGGCATACTGAGCTGCATGTAAGCAAAGCAATCATTTCTTGATTATATTTTCCAGTCAGTGCAGTTCACCATAAACCAATCAATTTACCAAAATGTGCTTATCTGAACTGGCCAAGTTTGCACACTAAGAAAACATCTTCGCAGAACATACCACCTTTTTTTTTCCTTTTTTTTTTTTTTTTTTGGCACAAATCCTTTTGTAGTCTTGCAGCAAGCTCTTCACCATACAAGAATTCAGAGATACTAGCCTGTACAAACACTGGAGCTTATTCTTCCATAGAGTAAACTACAAAGACAGCTAAGTGCCTGCAACAGCTTTGTTTCTCCAGCAACTTGCCCTTCTCTCTCTAAGGACGCACCACCATAATTATACTTCAGACAAAGAGGTGTTCTTGCCGAGCTCTTTAATTCCCTGGAGAATTCGCTTCATATGACCCACTTTCGTTATCCCCAGGTCCTACAAAATTATTAAAAAAAAAAAAAAAAAAAAAAAAAAAAAAAAAAGGAGAGAAAAAGAAAAAGAAGGAGGCTTATTTACAAAAATGAAAAAAATCCCCATTGATTATGATCTAGCCATGCAACAGATGTCTAGAAATATGCTCACTGCAATCAACATTAACTGGAAAAGATTCTATGGCACTAGCAAGTGTTGCCTAACAAAAATATTGCTTAGAGCATACAATTAATTCCTTTCTGTCCTGCAGACAGAAAATTACTTACCTGCAATAATGACAACCCAAGGCACTGCAATATATGTCAAAACCATCTTTCACTTGACTTCTAAGTTCAAAAGCCTTTCACAATTTGTGGCAAAAAAAGAACAATCTCCCTCTCCTCTCTAATAGAGCAATCAAATGCTTAGTATGATGTGATGGATTAGAGCTTCTGTCCAGCAATGTCACTTGATCTGAGGCCCTATGATGTCTGTTTTAATCAACAAACACACACATCCCCAGTTTCTCAAGGGAAAGTGGATGTAACGGCTACAGGCATGTAGGACAACTTCCCTTCAGAGAGCAACAGAAAAGGTAAGCATTTGTTTTTCACTCCAAAAAAGGTTACATCTCCTAACATCGATCTTCCTGATTAGAGAGCTGGAAGAAAAATTCTCAGACATTGACAGTCACATCCCCAAGAAAAATGTAAAAAGCACAGGTGTAGATCTCCTTGTAGCCACCACTAAAGAAATCACATCAGCTGAAGTGTTTCTAGGGCCGGTCTCCATATGAGTGACAACAGACAAGGATTTTTTGCAGCAATCTTCTTCCAACATTAGTAACAACTTTAGCAGCATCCTTTTCCAATTTTGACCGGTCGAATGGTCAGAGGAACAGAATGGGATGCCCAGCTGTACTAATGATCCCCAAATGTGCTAATGAATTTTGAGCTCAAGTATGGGGGAAATCTGCTTCCCTTATCTGTAAAACTCAGCTTTGAAAAGCTCTTTAAAATCCTTGTGTTAGTGATGTCAAGCAAGTGACAGAGTCAAACACTGATTGTCTGTAGAATAAACCTTATGTAAATAGATTGCCATTAAATAAAAAAATGTAGAAAGTTTTCATAATCTATTTTTCTGAAATAGAAATCCTTTAATTTTAATAGGAAGATTTTCCATTATGAAGACATTAGAAGGAGTGTAATTAAGCAGCTTGAAATATTCTGAGGGAAAAATGAAACCATATATAAAATTCTGTACATACTCTACACAAAGACTGTATCTACCTTTCTACAGCCACAGAAACCTCCGAAAATCTGTACTTTATATTACTTAAAAGTTTTAGCATGCAATTCATTTTGCATTTCTCCAAAGGAAGAAAGGGGTAGTACGATGGCTATGAATTAATTACTTTATTGTAAAGATAGCACAGCACAGATTAAACAGATTAATTTTCAGAGAGTCAAGACTGAATTCTGGATATGTCAGAGATGAAAAAAAACCCTGGCTGTTTCTTCACTTGAAAACTATTAGCACCATAAATACATGACCAACCTTTATAGCACATTTGGCAAAAAGGTGTCAGCATTAAAGAGTTCAAGATATGTTCATAAAAGTCCCCAAATCAAGTACTGTTCATAAACCTATCTGCAAAAAACCTTCTAATTTTCCACATCACATCAATTTATATTCTGTTTCCACTAATGGTCATGTCATTTATAAGAAAAAATAGTACTAATTTTTAAGTTAAGAGATTTGATGTAGGCAGTAGTTGTTAAACTCATCCCGCAAGGACACTAATATCTATCATTTTAGGTTTACAGAATATTTTCTTTTTTATGCTAAATTTAATTTTCCAATGAATCAAAAATACATACCACTTTTGAAACTACTGAAATACCCTAGTTGCTATGTGGAGGAAATTCTACATAAGGGAAAACCCATAAGGATACTTTTCACACCAAGAGAAGCCACACATGTTAAAGGTTAAGAATTTGCAAATTCTTCAGAATAAACATTTTTCACAAGTACAACTTCTGTTGGATAAAACAACATAGCAAGATGCTTCCAGACTTCAAAGATCAGAGGAAATAATCATATTATGAAATTCCCAGAAAACTCAGACACTTTTTCCACCAACCTTTACAAAGAATCATCAACACTGCTTATGTTTCATAGGCAAGACATTATGGTTTTATTTCCGTTCCAGCTGAAGTTGCTGTAATATAGATCAGAACAGCAAGACTCAAGAGCCTCATCACAATTTTGGGGGCCCTTTTGATAAATTGTGCCATGTTTCCAGGGTAAAAAAATCCCCAAGCAAAAAGATAAACTCCGAATTTTGATGCTCATGTAGCAGTCTGGTTTGGAGGAAATTCAAATTTATACGTTCCTGACACTAAACACTATCTAGTATTCTCAGTTTACTACTGATGCAGCAAAGTTTCCAGAAATTCTCTCATCTCAGACTAAAAGGATTTGATATAGCAGCATATCATGCATCACTGAAAAAGCAAGAGCCCAAAGATCTCTGCATTTTTGTGCATGCATGAGTTTCATCATGCTCTACATAATCTGTCCATATTTAATTTATATCTAAGTAACAAAAATTCAATTTGACTAAAATATGGTTGTGATGACAAGCCTTGAGCCAGAGTCTGAGGAAGAAAATAGCCTTCCTTTTCCCCAGCTATGGCCTTAAAACTACAGGATCACCTTTCCTTCTGCTCTCCCTAACCACTTTCACATCTCAAGGCATTCAGTAGGTAAGGCTCAAAAAATCCTTTGGGGGGGGAAAAAAAAAAGGTTGGGCAAGAAAAATATCACGGAAATTCTTGCAACAGCTTTCAGGAGTTCTTCATTTGCATTGTATTATGGTGATCAGGCCCCTGTCTGCTTAGGCATGAACCCATTTATTCCAGGTTTGCCCAACAGATTTTGGGCAAACATACCACCATTGTAATACCACCGATTTATATAAATACTCCTTGATATTACCATCTTGCAGATGAGAAACCTACCTTACTTGCATTCCCAGTGTCAAAAGCCATCTAGCATGCCTGAAGTCTAACAAATCTTAGAAAACATTTTCCATGCAAGAACTTTTTTAAAACACACTACTGCGAAACACAGAGGTGAAATGCCACAGTCCTCAGCATGGACTTCAGCTTGACTAGCACTGCTCATCAAGCTGACATGAGGCATGAAAACCTTTTCTCCAAGGAAACCAACACTGCCATAGAGTTCTAAGGAGACACCATCCTCATCCTACCAAATGTGTTGCAGTACTGAGTATTACTAAGTTACATGCATAGGAACATGGTTACCACTGCTAAGAATGCCAGCATTTATTTCAGAAAAATCAGCCTAATTTTCAATGAATTTGCTTGTAAAATAAGGTTAAAAATAAATAATTGTGACGTTTTCTTTCTACAGTTTCTACACCATAGTTCACAATTTGCTGCCAAGCCTTTCCTCAAGCGAAAGGAAATCACATGGGTGTAAAAGTCTTGATGCCCCTTAATAAAATCAGACGTAGGAGGCTGGAGAAGGGGTATTACTGGAGGGTAGAGAGAGATATCCGTTTCCTCTTGGAGGTGTTCTCCATTTACCAGTCACCGCACAGAGGTAACTGAGAATGGAATATGCAAGCTACACAAAAATACAATTAGAGGTGTCCGATTCTTCAGTCAACGTATTGATCTATTTCAGTGATGCATGCAAAGGAAGGGAGTTTCATCAAATCCTTTTCCATACTGCTTTTTATCTCTACTTTTGACTACAGAAAGAAAGGTGGGCGCAGAGGATTCAATTAAAAGAGGCAATGATTTTTCCTGTTGTAGACATGAGAGGTAATAGAGGTAAATCTATTGCACATGACTTAAGAGCTTGTGAATCAATGGCAAGCCCATTTAGTTTGGCAGGAAGCACAAGCCTTGCACTGGAGGAGAGGCTGTAGATAGAGCCTCATAAGAGCACTGAAAACTCATCTGCACACCTTGATGGCCAAAGGGAGGAAAAATTAGTATGGCAGCTTGTGATGTGTTCCTCATTTCCTAGGTATCACATTACACATCTTGACACCAATTCAGGTCACTGGTCAGAAAACTGCAAGGTCCCTGAGCCATCTTTAATTGGCTCCCTGCAGAGATCATGGCCTATATGTAATTAACAGGATGAGTGCTAAACTCTGCTATATAAATTCAGTGTTGCTACATAGAGCGCAAGTGATGCTTGGCCAAAAGCCTGGCCTATCTTATGAACGTAGTACTGTTTTGGAAGCTCTCAGCATCTGCAACAAGAAGATGGAGTGATTCTAGAGCAAAACTTCTAGCACAGGCAACTGGCATAGAACAACTCCTTGTCCAGCTATGCTGAGCAATTTAAAACCTCATACATGCTTCCTGGCAGCGCTAGATAGAGGGGACAGTAAGTCTGTCTCTCTGTAGGCTCTAAGACTTATTTATGCTGAATCAGCATGTCTTAACAACAGGGATAACACGCTGATGGTTATCCTGCTGCAGATATTTATTTACTTAATTGAAGTGCCAGTCTTCTGGGCATGCAGTCAAATTGGTACCCATCAGAAATGAGGCATAGACAGAAGCCATGTCCAATTTAACACTGATCTTACCCACCATCACTTATGCCAACAAATTTGACATAGGTTTGGGATTTTTTTTAAGATTTCTTAACATTTTAGTAAACCTATGCATTGTGTGATGCTGAGTTTCCCAGTTAAGTTTTAAATTTGTTCAGTGCCCATTCAGAATTGGACTTGCAACATCCACCACTGGAACACTGTGGTGGATTGCTTGGACAGTTTTCTATTTCCAAATTTTTGCAGGAAACTGTCCCTCCATGTCAGGAACTATCCTGAAGGAAAGGAATTTAACTTCCATGGAAAGAAGCTTAGGCAATCTAATACCAAGCGGTAGAATAATACACAATAGCCAAACAGATCATCTCAAATACAGCTATCTCCAGCAGCTGCATTCTGCTCCAACAGCCACACAATGCAGGCACTACCTTTTAAGATCAGTATTTCATAATATATGAGAAACTTTACAAACAAATGGCACATTTGTATGAAAGTATTGCCTCTATCTGGAGACTACTGCACTGTGACCAGAGCAATGACTTGCACTCTAAACGTAAATGTTTGTGATTTCTACAATATCCTATTTCCTCTCTTATGTGCTAAAAGCAGTTGCAAAACCCATTATCAAGAACTCATTACTACCGAGTTCCCGGAAAAAAGTAATGTAATGAATCCCCAAAGATATAGTCTCTATTACATATAATGGATGCACTTAAGTCATTCTTGAAGAAGACCAGCAAGCTCAAATAACAGTCTCAGATGCTACGTAACATTTCTCCTTGCAAAACCTATCAATCTGACCTCAGAGAAAGAAAGTTTTACAATTTTGGAGTCAAAAGAAAGTGCTCTTTTTTAAATCTATACAGTTAAAATCAGGCAGGGTTGGTCAGGGACAAGCAAACCTGTTGCGAAGGTCTATTCTGACACACAAACACCAATGCCATGTAAGTCCAATGCCACAATTTATTAAGATGCTTATCTCTCTCACACCCACTACAAGCAATATATATATGTAATAAATCACCTGAAGCAGGTCAGCTGCTCATAGCTGCTGACCTTGCATCAGATAGCTTCAAAATTATTATCACCACCTTCAACTCATTCATACTGATCCTGTTCAATGGAAACAGTGAACTCTTGAAGATAACATATTACACTGATGTCAGTAAGATATTAAACGTGCTTTTCCTATGCCTTTTGACATAAATGATAATGCTATCATTCTACATAAAGTGCCAAAAAAAGGAAATTTTGGATAACACAGATATTCTTGGTTGTGAGTACAAGTCAGCACTTCAGAAAATCAGGCCAAAGGACAGCGCATATTAGTTTATTGCGTATTTGCACAGTGTAAGCCAAGCTACAAGCACATAACAAGTGCAGGGAAAGAAGAAAAGTTGGTTGTTGTTTTGTCAAAGAAAATGGTCAATAGCAGAAAAGTAGCACAAAGGAAATACCTTAAGATCTCGCCTTTCCAGATGTAAAAGCTCAGAGCCTCGGATGTCATGGCTGATGAAGATTTCTTTGTACTCTCCCAAACTGAGCAGATCCAGCCAAGCAGCAACTTCATCTGTGCCCCATTTTTGAACTACCAAAGTTAAGAGCAAAACCCCCTTAATTTCTACATGCTCAAATGCATCACAAGCAAAGGTTAGGCCAAAGAGAGTGGAAAACAGAGTAGAATTGCCGTGCTAGCAAAGGGAAAGGTTAGAGGTGTCATTTCCACAAAAACTGACAATCTCCTTTTTACATGCAGGTTACAGGTTAGCAGTTAACATGAGAAAGTATCTAAACAAAGTTGGGGTTCTTTGCTTTGCAGCCATGCTTTCAGCTTTACTCCAGTATCTTCAGTAAAGCCTTTAAAACCTCAAGTCCCAACAAATTCACTTTAAGCCATCTTAGGATCAGTGACGCAAAGTCTAATGTTGTTCTGCTTAATACCATTAATTTATTAGTAGTCATCCAGGAGAGGAGAAGCCTTCAAAAACTAATTAACATGTAAAATTAAAATATCAACCATACCTTAAATATAGCAATGGCAGCAAGCAAGTCCAGTTTTAATTAACAGATTATAGTATTCTTAATTAATGCAACAAGTATTCTTTAAGCTACTGTGTTACATAGGCCATTAAGAAGCTCTCTGTAAAACATTGTTCTCTAAGGTTAGTTGCCCACATTAGTCCTAGTAAGACATTTATTGAAAAAAAAAAAGTTATGCTACTTATTGCTCTAATTTTGCAACTTCATTGAATGCTAATCAGTTTTACAGTGAAGAGAAATCTGAAATCTAATCTGAAATCTAAAGTATGATCAACAACTGCAAGATTTTGCAGATTATGACCAACTGTCCAAAAAAAAAAAAAAAAAGATAAAGATGCAGAAGCATTTTTAGGACCATCTGATCACTGATTAACTCCTGGACATAATCTTAAGGAAGTAAGTTCACGGATAAGTGTGGGAAGAGAGGAGAGTGGAGTTTGTTCAACTTCTAGTAAAAAAAAAAAAAAAAAATCAATATTCACTATCATGGCTTTTTGTTTGATTTGTCTCATTTGCTGAACCTAAAACCCATCTGAAATTTAAGAATAACTGGTTAATTAAACCAGTGTGATAAAAGGTATTGCATACGTTCTGAAACTAACCTGAAAAATCTGAACTGGAGCTTCACAGGGAAATGATGTGTTTACTTATGGCTTGTATGGCTGTGAGTTAATCAAATGTAACCACCAGCTAAGACACAGGTCCTGCTGCTTGATAAAACTGTCTGAATATTTTCACAGTAGTTCTTCCATTCACTTGGATATCTGGGGGTCCTACTGAATGCTTTCTAAATGCACTGAAAGAAGTCTTCATCCTAACGAAGATGCCAGTTAGCTCAGTTGCTTTTTAGTTTGACTTTACTCTTAGGTAGAGTGCATCACATCACCTCTTACCAAAAAAAACCCTTAAAATCCCATTTTCCCCAAATGCTACTATTTTTCTTGTAATTTCAAAACACATACCAGGCTGAGGGCTGGTCTTATGCTTCTGAACTTTTTCTTTTTTAAACTTTGGCACTATGCGAAACACGGTACTTCTGTTGTTTCTTTTAGCATAATCCAGAGGGGGATCCTGCATGAAAGAAGAGACATAGTTACCTGCAATTAACAGAAAACAACAGCTAAATGACATGCTTGAGACGGTAATTCATGGTTAATCTCAAAAACAAAGACTGAATTTTACTTTCATAAACAATGTCAGGATTTAACTCTATAAATGTTTCATTAGATAACCTTTCAAAAGCTTTACATTCACAAAAGGGACTCAAAAGAAATCCTAAACTTAGTTCAGTTAGAGACAGGAAATATTTATCAAACTCACCTCATCATCATTTGGTTGAAAAACATAATAAAGCCAAGGGATTTCAGCAAGTTTTCTCAACTCTATTTCCACGCTGTGTAAAGCATCAGACAACAGCTCTTCATGGGGAGCTTCTAACTGCTGTTTATAAACAGGCCAGAAAAATAGTGGGTTTAGTTTTATTAAGACACATCATTTAAGTCTAGATATGTTGTTACCACACACAAACAGGTAACTGCTGAGCGTAAACAAATGGTGAAAACAAATTATCGTCCAAATTTAGATTTTCCTTCAGAGATACATCAGACCACCTTGACAGTACATTTAGTATGGTCCCAACCACAAAGGGATGACTGAGACAGCTGAGACTTTTGGTGCAGGCCAGCTGGACTGAGCTGTCAATCAGTGTCATCATTCAGTGCACTCCTGAGTCTTCTATAGAACAAAAGTTACCTGATAACACCAATACTAGAATACATTAGAAATGGAAACTACCAGCATGAGCTAAAACTGGACCAGAAGAGCAGAAGCCTGGAAAGTCTTTGTATAAAAGGTGGTGCAAAAAAAAATTGAATAGATGGTAGTAAGCCTGAGTTGTTATTTGCAAATGTCTTCATATGATCGATCACTCTCTCCTGATCAAGTAAGAGAAAATGGATCTTACCAAAGATTCTTAATTGCCAAAGGTCTTCCATAAGAATTTGGCTCTACCAATGCTTTGAGAACCCCATAGAGGTACCAGTTTTCCTTCAAACCCCAGTAAATGAAAACTATTCTGCAGCTGTTGTGTGAGTCAGACTTGTGAGGAAGAGGTAAGGCAGGCAGTTGATCCCTGGCAACACTGTTTCGGACTTACCTGGTGTTGCTGAAACACCATTTTAAGATATAGATTTGAATCCTGGAACAAGCTGCTTGGAATCACTAATAAAGCAATCTGAACATCTGTTCCTCCCTCTGAAGCAAAAGTAGTCCCAAAGCAGTGCAGAATATTCTTTTGAAAGGATCTAATTAAGTTATATCCTAGTGAATGCATTTTTAAAATGGAGTTGTAAGAGAATCTTTGATCCTTAGTGCTGGAAAAAGATTTTGATGTTGTTGGGGTTTGGTGATGAATTACAAGCCCCCATTAAATTTATCCCACCTAACAAAAATTTATTTATTTTGCTTCAGTAGTTTACATATGTTACCACTTTTCAAAGGAGAGACCATCTTTAGTAAGATGCTGCTGTTTAGTATAGTAATACTGGAAATACAAGCTCCCTCTTGCTATCATGTTATTTTCTCTTCTAAAGCTCACAGAATTCAGTGCCCATAATCAGACTCTGATCTTGCTTTTGCCTTTCTTTATTTTCTAATTTGAACAGTTAATTTGGAGCACAGTGGAAGACGCACTTGTCCTTGAAGAAGTTACAACTTTTCTTGTGTTACCATTTTTAAGAAATTATTTAAGGCACCTATTTTATATAAATGAATGAAACAAAGAGTTCTGTCTTTTGCAACAAGCCCTTATCTAATTGATTGATTCTGCTTGATTTTGCCTGGGGACAAAACAAATCTCATCTGATGGTGAGAAAGTGCATGCGTTGACAATATTGCTCCTGAAATAAACTCAAAACAATAGTGCAGTTCTGGTAAAGGAACAGTCAGCAATTTAGTGTAAATTCTCCTTCTACAACATCTTGGAAAAGTTTCTTATTTCCATGATGAAAGTTAACATTATGAATGAAACAATGAAAATAAAAGATTTTTCAATTCCTTACAAATTAAACTTTTAATATTAAAATACTTTATTCCAGTGAGCTCACATTATTTCACTCAGTTGAGGTGAAACATTCTGTCATACTTCTCCCTTCATACATTGGACAACTGTGCCATAACCATCTGGAAGATTCCACAAATCAGCTTCATTGTCCCATCTTATCACTTCACTAAAAATGGCATTTACAGCTAATTTACCATTTGATGTCATCTAGCTAATACTGTTGTATGAACTTTGTTAATCATATCTTATGGGAGGTGGCAGGAATCACAGTCTCCTTATATATGTATTTACATTTCTTTTGTGGCCTTCAGAAGCCATAAGAGAAGGACTCAAGAGCTGGTAAATGGAAACAAAGAAAAAGCTTACCAAGTAGTATATGCAACAAAGGCATCAATTTACTGCTATCAGAAGCTTTGATCACAGAAAAGAGGGGTGAGGGAGAAATGAAGAGGAAAAAAAAAAGAAGATATTAAAGAAGAATGTCTTTGTCAGAGGAGAAAGATAATTTGGAAAAAAAGTGTATGATAGCAGTGGCTGATTGAATCAAGCAGCATCTTACATTTCATCTGTCTCTATTTTAATAGAGTGAGGGACAACATACATGCAGCTTTGACATTTATAAAAATACGTGGCAAAAAGGTTAACCAGGGTGCCTTGTTACTGTGACTGAAATACTGTTCTAAACAAGCATGCTGTCAAATGAGTGTAACGGCCATCTCTAGAAGATTATCTCGGTATCTTCTAAAAGGCCTTATTATTAAAAAATGGGTTTGATGGAGACTCACAAAGACATTTGCACAGACCATAATGATAAGCAGAAGTACAACATGTAAAAATCAGAAATAGACAAATGGATCAAATTAAGCTTTGGAGCCTGAACAAGGGACCAGTTCGACAACGCAATGAGATCACAACTGGCTATAGAAAAGGTAATGTTTCAATGGAAAGGCTTCCATAACATTATTTCCAGACTGCTGTGATAAATTATACTAGTCCTAGTATGACATCACCAACTTAAACCTCTTCTTCTAATTCCTTTTCTTAAACTATTCTAAAATTTAAACAAATTTCTCTGATTCCCCATTAAATATGAAATGTGGGGAATTAGTAATAGCTATTTGAAAAAAAGAGCAGATATTTTTCCCTTGTCTTGGACCTAATGAATAACTTTCCCTTCCAAAAACTCATAAAATAGATCATATGAACCTATCTTTGACTATTTCTAGAAATTAAATGGTTATTTAGGCTCTACATCATATCAACTTTTGTTTACAGTAGAACCAACTCGTACCATTTATCACATGTGTAGAAAGGTATGTGAACCTGCACCTACCCTAACTCAGCTAAATGAAAACATTCCTATTGATATCCATGTTTAATCTGACACTTAAATAAACAGTAAGTTAGTAATAAATCAGCTTTTGAATCCAAAGAAAATGTAACTGTTCCTGCTGATTATCATCTTAACGTAAAACTAGACCAGCATAGAAAACCTAACATCTTTCTTCTCTTCACAGTAGCACATACAGAAATTGTCTAATTATAAATCCAGGTAAAAACAATTTTTGAGCAGTCTTCATCATTTAAGGCATAGAAACAGTAGCCCAAGAAGATGATGCAAAGTCTGCAAGTACCATTAGAGGTCTACTGAACACTTACCAGTTAAAGGTTATAAAATAATTCCTGCCAGGTGTTAGAACAAGGGTGAGATTTACTTGCCTAGATCATACGTGTAGAAGTTGCATGAAGAAGCTGAATAGCTTCTGAAGATGAGAAGCTGAACAGCTCTCACCTCAGGTTCTCTTTAAACTCTGAGGATGGTCACATAATAGAACTTTAGAAGTTCTGTTAAATGCTACACCTCCAGAAGATGATTTATCTTTTTCTAAGATAGGTTTCCAAGACAGCTGAGTGTGAATCAACCTCAACAGGGATACTTTTTTCTCTCCACTCCACTGACTATTGAAAGGAAAAGCCCAGGCAATGACCTTTCAATGACCTTTTAGATATTTGAAGTGAGGTAAGATGGATGTCAACCTAGGACAAGAATTCATAACTCATTCTGATCAAAACCCCAAATGCAGTGTAATACCCTCCAATTGGCCTTACAGAGCTTCCTGCAGCATCTCCTAAATCCTGCACCAATTTAAAAAATCAGCAAAGAACAAATCACAGATAATCTGAATGAGGGAATAAAACGATGTATTTTGTGACCTTACCAAAGGAACTCTCCCTACTAGCAGAGATTCAGTTTCATTATGCAGGGCCTTCACATTGACAGCTATCTCCATAGCAGTATTTCTGGTAAGACTCTGGGGGGAATAAGAAGCATAAACATTATTTGAAGCGATGCAAGTCAGACTGAGAATAAGTACTTTGGGCTTACAGCACAGATCTTAAGTGAAGACACTTCTAGTCTAGGAGAAATACATCAATTTAGCTCTACACTGGCAACTTCTTCAGCACTGAGAATAGAAAACAAAAATGTAGTATCTATTAACTATCTTTTCCCCGACTTCATTTAATATAACTTTATACAAGCCTGAAGATCATCAAGTGAACAGCCACCTGTGAGATGAATCCATGATTTTTATGGATGACAAAGGCCAGCAGAAAACAATGACTGTTGATCTGAATTGTTCACCTTATCCTTAGCAGAAGTAAGCTGCTAGCCATATTTTAAAAAGCAAAGGTTAACTAATATATTTACCATACATAAATTTAGGATAGCTATAGACAGCCTCTACATAATGAATCTTTTTTGGGTCCAATCCCTGAACACCCAGATTGTCTAGTGTGAAGAGAGAAAACAGGAAACTCATTTCCCCTCACCCCCTTAGCATTCTTTGCATAGTATTTGGATAACAATTAAGCATGAAAATTTATGTGAATGCATCCACAAGAATTGACCTTTATGTAGTAACAGCATTTGTTCAGCTTTGCCATGCCTCCAACTCTGTCTCTGGGGACATGCCTACACAGTTGTCTGCAAGCAGATGTAAGCTTACTCTGCTTGTTATTTTTGCTGTTTGCTGACCTGAGTTTGGTTTATTCATGCTCAGAGCCACATTAGTACACCACCTCACTTGATTTAATAAACACTGCTGCATCACTTCAGGATGAGCACCCCTGGCTGTGGACCACTGTTGCAGATGGAACAAATTCTTGACTGCTTCCAAAAGGCAACAGACATACTCTTACCCTGGCCCTAATCCAAATTCCCTATCTCCTTTTTGACTAATCGTTCCCCCCTGCAACAACACCCAGAAGTTCTGCGTTTTAAGTGTCATTAATATCCTTAACATCCAATATTCACAAAAGAGAGTATCATCTGTGGAGGACACTGATGAAGGCAGAAACTGCATTTTCTGCCTTCTCAGATATTACATTATATCAGTCTAACACCAGTAGGGGACTCTCTTCTTAAATACTTCTGTAGAAAGGCAGTTCTCCTCACTCCCATTCCTGGTATTACTAATAAATTTCAGAATCACTGAGCATGAGCTCTACCAAATTCAGCTATGGGTTGTTTCCCTATGCATGTGAGCTATGCAGAGCATGTGCTATACACAGCAGCACTTTCCAAATCAGAAGTAACTTTCCCTTTACTTTCACCTTAGAGAAGTGGCAAAAGAATAGAGAAAATATGACATCCATTCATTTGTTAAGCAATTTCATTTAAATTTGAGCATGTCTATGTATATTTAGAAGTCTTTTTTTTAATCAAAAACTTCAAGAATTATTATTCCACTTGTTTTAATATGGGGACATAATTAATTTAATATTATGGCCTATTTACTTATACATAAATCTAAGTTTTTTCTTTACCTCAGGAAACCTTGGGTTGGCTTTATTTAATGCATGTGAACATGCATTAACAGCATGAGCAAGCTCCTGCTCCAAGAGGCCATGTATTTTTGCTGCTTCACAGATCCTAGAAAAATATAAAAGAGAAAAATACAATTGAAATTTGAAAAATAGAGTTGAAATACAAGTAACTCTTCAAGCAATACATCACCTCATACAAATGATACTCGTAACACAGATTATTTATTCTGCTATGGAATACTGAGACACATTTATTTATCTTAGAACACAAATGCTATGCAAAAAACGTACCAAAAAACGTTGGGACTATTAATTCAAATAAATTATAAGAGGAAAAAAATAGCTCATTACAATAACTTTCAGGTTTATTAACTGCTCATCTTTTTGAAATTGTGAGTAACAAGGCTTTAAGGAGAAATAAGTTCTGAAGAAGTTAATGTCAGGTGGATACAAGCACTCTGTTGACTTCTTAAGTTCACTTTAAGGTTTTTTTTTTCAATAAATATATTTTTACTTTTGCATAAAATGAGAAGGTTCAATCAAAATCCTCTCTACAAAGAAGCTTTCCTGTTTTCCATTTCTGTTTTCACTCCTTCAGAAAGGTTTTCAAAAGAAAAATATACATAAACACACAAAAATAAAATTATGTAAGAAGAGTATATATAAATGAGTTGAGCCTTAAAAATAAAATAAAATGAATTTTTAAAAATCAAGTAACTGATAAGAGTGGCAACTAAACATTAACAAAAAACAGAAATTATACACTTCTAAGTCTATCTATGCATTTACATGAATAATTCAGTCTTGGTGACTAGATTGCCAATCCAAACATTAATTTTACTGTACCTGGTAATAAGTTCTTCTGCAGCTTGTGAGCACAGATGAATCTGTGCAACTTCTTCTTCTGTAGCCAACTCAACAGCCTGCTGAGGGTACAAGGGAGATCGAATGACAGGTTTACAGGAATCATACTTCTGTTTGTCTTCCCAAGACTTCAGGGTGTTTTCAAAGGCCTAATCAAAATGAATTATACATTCAGTTCACAGCACTTGGAGTTTTCTTACTTATTAAAAAAACAATTTAATATTTTATATAAATCTTAATTTATTAAAAATAGTTAAATTAATTTAACAAATATGCAACTTTTAATTTAAATTTTATATAAATGATACAAGGTATAAATAATAAATTAGATTCAATTTTTTTAAACTTAGTATAGAGAATAAGTCACTTCCGAAAGCTTGCTCTGTCTGCCCCCCGTTATCCTCAAAAAGTGTCTTCCAAAACAATATGAACACAAAGACAGCGATAATACGTTTTGTTCAGATAGCAAGATCCAAACCTGAAACTAATACAGGCTTGAAACCTAAAAAATGTTGGGAAAAAGTTACAAATTTACTAAAAGAGAGTTCAATTGCCATTAACTCCACCCTAAATTCAACATCCAGTTAGTGGACAGAGAACTGAGGGGCAGTCAGGCTTTTCACACAGTAATCCTAGACAAGTGTAAATTCTTCAGTGGCTCTGTGAGTAGGTTCTGCTTGTGTCTCTCTGTGTCTGAGATATTGGGTCATGGGGAAAAGGGAAGATTAGTAGGACAGAAAGAGACAGGAGATAAATCTGCAGAAAGTTGTTCTGAAAAATGGACATTATAGAACTTTGCTATTTATGCAACAGAAGAAGGGAAGGAAGGGAGGGAGGCAGGGAATACAGAAAATAAAAAATACAGAAAACATGGAAAACAGAAAACATCAAATAGAAAATTGTGAGCATCTTACTATATATTAATAAGAATACAGGAATAGCACTAATAAAACTGATAAAAGCTAACAAAGCTTTTTCACTTATACAAAAGAACAATTCTCTATCCAGCTTATTATAAAAATTATATAACCATAATTATATAAGTTATATAAATAGTTATAACACATTTTTGTAAGCACTGTTTTGTTCATGTTGTAACTGAATCAAATTATTAAAGAAACCAATGTTGGTAATGGTATCTCATAACACACTTTCTGCAACATACTCTGTCTCGTGTTAGCATCTGAGCTCTGTTTTTATGTATGATCTTAATAACTCCTGGGGGCTGGATCCATGCCTCTCCATCAACTTGCACTGGAACCCCTTCATCACCAAGTATGGTGATCTTTACTGACCGACACTGGAAAAGAACAAACACATTATTTTACAGAGCAATAAATACTGATGAAACTGACAGGCTACCTGAAATATGTTGATTACTAGGAGCTGTGGCTTCCCTCCAGGACTGTCTCAAGGATGAAGCACTTTTATACTTCATTCATCATTGAAGACAATTTGTTACCCGTTAAAATTTAAACAATGTCAGTACTCTAATGTATAGGGTGGTGGTCATCAAGAGTACTGCCACTTGTCAGCATCCCAAACTGCTGCCAACCATGTTGTGTGTTTTCAAAGGAGAAAACAAACCTGAGCTATCCTGTGGTGCTGCAGTTTGATGACTCTTGAAACTGCCATCTGCATGCTGCCAAATACCGCAACAACTTCTAAGATTTTATCATCGAATGATGGAGCTCCAAATATCTGAAAGGAAAATAAAATATTCCACTTTTTATGGTAATTCTAGTGCTTATATTGCATGTTCAATGAAACACAGATTCATTTGCAGTTTCATTTTCAACATTTAAATGCTCTAATTTATTTAGTATAGAATAACTATATTGTCTCTCAAAAGTCGTAAGATACCACAGACAGTAGGTTAATATTATATTAAAACAGTAATGCTAACTGCACTTCAACTATCTGAATGACGAGGACTTATCCTTATATAGGAAGGATGGCATGTTTCATGCAGACTGTTTTTCAAGGCAAGATGAAAGGCCAATTCAAATCTCTGCTTGGTTAATGTACTTAATATCTAAGAGGTTCTTGAAGTTAAGAGGAGTAATGATGTCTTTCTTCTTAGAAGTGCTTATCTTCTTATATTCTGAATTCTCTGGAAACCAACTTCTGAGTCCACACTCAGCTCTGTTAAATACAGCTTTCATGCTGAAGAGGATCTTGTTTGTGCTGTATGCAATTATCCACTGTAAATATGAAAACAGCTTCTGTACGGAACAAACATGATATCCAGACAAGATGTTGAATTTCCATTAGCTTACACAAAGCGCAGAAAGTCTTGCGTGTGCCATTGCCACCTGGTGTCCTGCAGGGGTATTCATCCACGCCACAAGACAAGTCATAGGCTGGAGTTCAAATGGGTCTGGCAGGAGATACCACACTAAGGTCACTTTAAGCATGACCATTTCATCCTGATATGCAATAGGGAGCAACAGGGAGAAAAATTAGCATGAGAAATCACTCCAGTAAGAGTTTAATGGGTAGGGAGACTATGTCTCTGAGCAGTACTTAAGCTAACTCCATTGGCATGTTGGGCAGAGTAAACTGTATCAGAAACACCCAAGACCAGACTGGAGAAAATCGCTGAAAGGAACTCAAAAGCCACACTAGTCCAGTCCTGTCCCCTGACAGAGGATTTCCTGAAAGTGAATAATAAGACAGTGTGGATCCAGGACTCTGTAATCCAGATAGTGTCTGCAGCAGTGGTTCAGGGAGGGAGAGGATGGGAAACAGGGTGAAAGACTGGCCCCTGCTGCCCACCAAGCCAGAGGAAGTCTTCACCCCAGTGCAGTGAGCAGTGGCTTTGGCCAGAGGCTGAGGAGGGCTTCTCAGGTGAAGGGCTACACAGCACAGTTGACAAAGTTTAGTGCCACATCCAGATGGCACTTCCTTTCAGAACATTCCAGGCTTGCATAAATAGGTCTTGAGCAGATAAGTGTCAAAGAACAAAAGTGCAATTTTACTGAATCCAGAATGTTTTGAAGCAAAAGGGTTCTCCACTTGAATTTTTCCAGTTTTCATAGAAATTCTTCTGGTTTTCACACAGGGATGTGAACTTCTTGAAAAGAGAAAAGATGGTGATTCTGTTATTCCAAGATAAAAAGTATGGAGAGTCATTGATCCAGCTTTAACGGGTAAACCTGATGTCTACAGGGCTAGTTCTGAATTGCTTAAGTAGTTTTAAAATTTAATTTCTTTTGTGTTTCCATTTTAGAAAAAGGATGGACAAACCACGACCCAGTCTACTGTGTCTCTCCATCAGTAAAATATATCTGTACTGAAAACAAACCTTTTATTTTTTATAAAAGACAACCAAATATCTAGGGATCAACGCTCAAGAAACAATTCCCTTCTTTCCTGTCACAGGTCATACTTCCAGCCTGTCTTCTGGACACCAAAAAAAGCGTATTTAAACAAACCCTCTTCAAGTTGGTTGGCATGCAAGTCCCCTGGTTGTCTAACCAACAATGTTTCAGGAATAGGCACAGCTGTCAAGGCAACATCTTTCTTTTCTCCAGATAAGCAGAATCAGCAGCACTACAGATCACTTCTGATGGTCAGTCACTCAAGATTGCACTAAAGCAGTAAATTGTGCTCCTAATTCTGTCCAGAAGAAACATGGCACTTTGCTGGCACATCTGATCACCAGAAGACCAAGAGTATCAGTAAAACTGCTCCAAGACACACACATTTGCTGTATACCAGTATGACAGCTAAGACAGATCTTCTCTCTCAGTCAGGCAGTCCAGGGAGAAAAATAAACTCCCGAACAGGAGCTGAGCAGATGTTACAGCTGCTTTCAAGTTATTAATACGAACATGGACTATATAAAAACTTCAGATATCCATAGCCAAAAGTAAACACAACTGCCATCCTGTGACATATAACAAAAATAAAAAAAGACATTGAAATATGTTTAAATATTTTTTGTGACATTTATATGTGTGTGTGTGTGTGTGTGTATGTATATAAAACAAAGGCTAATAATTCAGAGGAAACCAAAAGCATTTTGGCAAAAAAGTCCTGGATTGTCTGCATTAAGATCACAAGCTAACTACAGTTTTAAGTGATTGGGACCTCACATGCACTACATCAGGAAATGTAGAATTAGGATAAGCTAGTGATTACAATTGTTGCACTATGCATGAAGTGGATGGCAGCAGTAAGACTGCTCCAAGTTGTAAGACATTTAGGTATCTCTGTAGTGTAATGTTTCTTAGGATGTGTGAGAAAGAAGGGAAGAAAAGGTATCTTAAAATATTTTAGAAGCTCATTGAAAATAATATGTAAAAACCAGATTACTACCCTCACTAAATAATCAGTCACTAAATGCATTAGTCCTCATTGTCTGAATCACCATCCCTTAAACCAAAGCTGTTTGAAGAACAGAACGAAAATTCAGGTATAAAACTTGCTTATAGTTAGAATATAGCAAAGAGAGGAATTTATACTTTGAGAAACCTTATTTCAAGGAGTTTGTAAAACATCATAGAGAGGAACTATTTGTGTCTGTTTATAAAGTTAGTGTCTAAAAATACTCATAGAGCCATTTAAAAAAAAAAATCATTAAACCTTATTATGAACATTTTATTGGAATGGAAATGACAGAAGGCAAAAGACAGTGAAAAATCATGGCATATATTTTCAATAAAAATCAACAAGTAGTGTTTAAATTGAAACAGCCTCCCTGAATAAGAGTTGCTATCCAAACTATATGCTACTATTAATAAAATTAAATGAGAAGAGCAGTTCATGGTATTTAATGCTGGTTTTGCCCAGAAGGTTACTTGTTTTTAATGTTACTCACATCATCTTCTTTGGTTCCACCCCAGAAATTAGTCCCACCAGCATAGCTGGGAATGTTTAGCACAGCTATGCCCTGCAGACTTGGAAGGGGGATGTATTGCCCGTCACACTGTAATGGATAAAACTCATTCAGTATATAGATAATGTGATAAAAGTAATGAGCCATTTTTAACACATGAAGCTTCAACAGTGCTGGCAGGGAGGACAGAGAAGTTTATTCCCTCCACGATGTGAAGAACCTCTAATACAAACCTCTTCTCCCCAATCTTTGCACCAATTTTTCCAGAGCTGAAAAACATGCAGATACTGTAGTATCTACAGCAAAGGTGTTTCATGACTCTTAAAGGAAACATTTTTGCATCCCTTATTGTGAAATTCTTCATGCATTTAGACCATACTCTGTCTATCAAGGATTAAAAATCTTTTTTCAGTGAAGAAAGCTATTTCCCTGAGTGCATGGACATTACAACAAGCTTCATCTACCCATTCAATAATTAGTCTTCCATCCTACATCATCATTTCCAAAATTACAATACACTTGTTCTTTAGGTAAATCCTTTAAGGGGAGTTGGAGGATGTAAAAAAAAATCCAAGAATACTTCTGGCATAGCCACAAACATGTAGATAAATGCAAGTGCTGTTAGCATGGTATGCTTGGCTTCCTGCAAGAATAACTTTACTCTCCTCCCAAACATGCAAGAACAAATCTAGGACTGACCCCAGAGTTGTTATCCTGGCTGTGGCCAGTTATTGATTTTGCCGGTAAGATGTCGCTCCTATGACTGACCACTCAGACTTATCACTTTATCGTCCAAAACTCATAAGCAACTCCAGGTCCTACTCAACACTATCATTGGATAACATAAGTCAGTGTCACCCTACTTATGGCCAAAAGTAAATTTACAGACATCAGTGAATCACTCTTAACTTACAGCAGTATAACTGCCTTCAGAGGGGAGCCCAATGACCTCAAACCATTCAACTGGGAGTCAAAAGTGCAGTGCTGCAGCAGTGCCACAAGCAGGGATTTGAAACAAGTTGAAGCTAAAAGGTGTCCTCATTTCATCTGGAATAGTTTTCTTTCTAGTACCTGGTATAGTGCTGTGGTTTCCATTTAGGATGAGAATAAAGTTGATGTTTTAATTGTTGATAAGAAGTGTTTATATTAAGTCAAGGACTATTCAACGTCTCATACTGCCCTGCCAGTGGAGGCTGGGAGTGTACAAGAAGCTGGGAGAGGGTACAGCAAGGACAGCTGACCCAAAAGGGTATTCCATACCATATGACATCATGCCTAGCATACAAGCCAGGGGGAGTTGTCTGGGGGACACTGTGGCTCAGGGACTAGCTAGGCATTGGTCAGTGTGTGGTGGGCGACTGCATTGTGCAGCACTTGTTTCATATATTTCGCAATTATTATTATTATCCTTTTCTGTCCTATTAAACTGTCTTTATCTCAACCCATGAGTTGTTTTTGGTTTTTGGGGTTTTTTTCCAATTCTCTTTCCCATCCCAATGGGGTGGAGGGAGTGAGCGAGTGGCTGCGTGATGCTTAATTGGTGGCTGGGGTTAAACCATGACACAAGGTCATAAATGCTGGATGCACTTAGTGGATTAGGAATTTGCGGGTCAAGTTGCCTTTAAAGTTACCTTTACCACAAGTTACCGATCCCACAGAATGATCTTAATATCATACAGATGCAATAGAAATACTCAGGAAATAAGGCCAAAATCTGTAGCAATTTTATCAGGAGGAGAAAGAGATGTAAAATTATTTCCAGAAAGTGCTTAGTGCTCTCTTTTTATGATTTAATATCAGCAACAAGACAGAATTTAACATTTTAATCAAAATATGACAGCATCCAAAATATGCTGTGACATTAATTTTTATATTATTTTTATATTTTTAATTTTCCAGTGCTCTGCACCTCATCACACATTTTAGCATGAAGCTAATATTATGCAAGGCAATACTAAATATGAAATTTCTACTTGCTGGTTTACTTCTAGAAATATTCAAAAATAATTATGGAAAGGTCAGATTTGAATGCCTTATTGAATCTCATTCAAAAGATTCTGAAATTAGAATTCTATCTGCAGCATACATAACAGTCTTTCCTGTCATTATATTTGATAACTACTGCATAATTCCTTGATAATTAGTCAGTCCTTAGATAACAGCAATCTGCCACTACTACACAAAATCTCCCTAAATATCAGACTGAGAAAGAGTTCCAGTAACTTAAAATTATTCTTTCAAGTTAAAATGTTATCTTCATATAAATATTGTGAACTTTCAGAAATACTTAGCATGAAGTAAAAAGAGAAATGACATGTTTTCTGTCAAAACCCAGTCTAGATATTTTGGAGGTGAAAATAACTGTAACCTCCCTGTAGTCTTTTTCTGCATTTGGTAATCATTTATATCTCCTTTAAGTTCCCAGTAACGTGAAGAAGACTTAGATTTGATGTTAGAACTTAAAAGACAAAAAATAACCATGTTTAGATCATTTACACTGCATTTGTTGTTGCTGTGATAATATCTTGCTTCCTTTGTGTGACTGTCTCAGACACCTATTAGAGAAAGTCTTTACTGGTGTAGCTGGGCTTCTTGTGATGCACATTCAGAATCTCCCCTCTTCTGTCAGAATTTTTGACTAAGATCATCTGTGTGCTCTCCCTGTATGTGTAATCAAGTTTTGAGATAGTTTAAAATGAACCTGAAGGGTTAAGACTCCTTATCTCTTTCCTTCTGTTTAGTGTATGTTCATTGTTGTTATTGCCCTTAAAACTTGATCTCCCCCTTTGCTGTAGGGAACATTATGAAACATATCCTATCTATCCAATAATTTTATTTAAAAAAAAAAACAAAACAGTACTTACAAGAAACATTATATTGGGTATTTTGGGATATTTAAAGACTGGCATTTTCCTCCAAAAAATCAGCTGGGGAACCACCTCTTACATAGCACATTTTTACACAGTGCCTTTGAGGTCAGTTTTGGTTGACACAAGGACTCTAAAAGGTTTCAAGAGGAAACCCCTATTCTTCATTACACATTGTGGAAGCAAAAATACTCATTCTGCCTATAAATAAAATTTACCTCAAGTTGAACTTTTTGTTCCAAGTTCTTGTAAGTTCTCTGCAGTAGCTCTTTTGTGCCAAGAACTCCATACCACATCATGTTTTTTGTCCGACTTCTGAAAACAGGTAAAACAAGACTCACATATTGAAATACACACACTAGTATGTATTGTATTTGTAGGATGAGAAAAGTTAAGAAATTCAGATAAAGAGATAAGGAAAAAAATAATTTAAATGTCTTGGCTCTATTACTGACAATTATATTACCTGCACTTTTCAGGGTGCTCTTCTCGCTTGTTATTAAATTCTAGTGAAATTTTTGCATCTAACCCAATTCCGAAGTAGTTGTTCATAACACATTTTTCTGAATATCCCTCCCTGTTAGAACAAAAGAGATAATTAGGTGTACATTTGTACAGTATCTGGACACACAGAGCTTTGACCAAGATAGTGGTTGGTCTCAGAACAGATACATCAACCAGGAGATGTCAAAACAGGTTGGCTGCTAGTACCTTTGCAAATGCAAGTTACTTCCTGTAGGGCAAAGAAGAAACTGTACTACACCCCATCCAGCACTATCTCCACCATACCCAAAATAACAGTGGGATACGAAGAAAGAGCTGCCCTGGGCATGGCTCTGAGAGAGCAGCACCACACCAGGACGAGCACCCAGGCTGCATTTAAGCATGCTGGCACTAGGTGTTTGGCTGATGGCACAGCAGTGGTTTATTTTAGGGGAACTGTGGCCCACAGTGCAGATCTCATCCATAAGACTTTGCCAACACTGCATCCTGTTCTGGGAAGCAGAGACAGCTTAGAACACAAAATTTCCATCTCGCTGCTCCAGTCCTTAGGAGAACACTCTTCTTCCTCCACTACAATGGAGGACCTGCTTCAACATCTTGCTGGCAGCTGAGCTTGCATTCAGACCAGCAGTTTGGGCAGGAAAACACAACTCTGAAGGACTGTTGGCCTCCTCCTCCCAGAGCAGGCAAGCAAGGGTTGTGAGCAAACATCTCCTATTATTTCTGCTGCTTCAAGACAATTTTGCGCTACTCATAACTAAAATGGCAAATCCAACCTATTTTCAGAACTTGATGTCTAAATGGAAGCAAACAGGAACTTCACAATTCAAAAAAGATTACAAAAAGGTTAAAAAAAAAAAGTTTAAGAAAAGCAAACTAAAGCAAAACAGTAAATCTGGAAAAAATTATTTCTTACAAGGAGTCTGGATCCGGGTCAATAAATGGCGTAGCACCAAATGGATCGATGTTTGCTAGCAACATTTTGCTAATAATTGAACTTCCTGCAATAGAAGCAGCTAGACCAGCCCTCAAACCTGATTAAAAAGGAAACAGAAAAAAATAACAAAAAACCACTTTGCATTTTATAATTAGAGAAACATATATTGTCATAATATATAATCCAAATAGTGAGAGACAAAATTAATTAAATCCATATAGGGAATGATTGCATTTCTATTTCAATTTTTACCTATATTGGTTATCTTTTCAGGTGTCTGGCTCTCTTGAGCAGAAGGGCAGCTATGCTGCAGTGTGATGGCTGACTCTTCAAATACCACCATTGAGAAAGAAAAAAAAAACCAAGAAAATTCAGGATTTCAGGCCAACAATCACTGGCTGGCATAGTAACCAAATCCAAAAAGACTACTAGATCTTTTTACTTAGTTTAATCTTCCTCTCCAAAATTTCCATGATTTTCCTTTGGTCCTTTTCTTGAAAATATTCCTAAGGAATACCCATATCATTTTCAGAACTGGTCAAGTCATAGTTTAATTTAATTTGTGGGAAGATCACATCTTCACCGTGCCTTCCTTGACTAGTATCAATGTTACTATACAGAACACTGTGTAACGCATTTAAACAAAGAAAAATATTTTCTAAAAGCTTTCACTTAAATTGACCTAGAGAAAAATGTAAGCTCAGTTCCATTATGTTTTATCTATACTAATGAAGTTAATTAAAACATGTGTTTTACCAGTGCTCCCTAGTATTAACTACATTTGGATAATAACATGGTGTTTTAAAAAATATTTTTACTGCACAGCAGCTTTGTTTAGTTTCAGTTATCCCCTTCTAGAGAGGTATCTAGAGACTTCTTATCTAGAGGGTTGAACTTCACATAGATGTGTCCCTCTCTGCCTCTTCACAGCCTCACTGATTAGTGTGAATGATAGAAGGAAGTGGGGACACTGGTGGATGAAAAATTGGACATGAGCCAGCAATGTGCACTCACAGCTCAGAAAGCCAACTACATCAAGAGACGTGTGGCGAGCAGATCGAGGGAGGTGATTCTCCCCCTCTACTCTGCTCTTATGAGACCCCACCTGGAGTGCTGTGTCCAGCTCCGAGGTCCCCAGCACAAGAAAGACACAGACCTGTTGGAGTGGGTCCAGAGGAGAGCCAAGAAAATGGTCAGATGGATGGAACACCTGTCCTATGAAAAAAGGCTGAGAAAGTTGGTTCAGCCTGAAGAAGAGAAAGCTCCAGGGAGACCTTACTGTGGCCTTTCAAAACACAGAGGGGGGTTATAAGAAAGACTGAGAGACTTTTCATCAGGGCCTGTAGTGACAAGGGGAAATGGTTTTAAACTGAAAGAGGGTAGGTTTAGATTGACATAAGGAAGAAATTTTTTATGCTGAGGGTGGTGAGATACTGGTACAGGTTACCGATGCTGCGCCATCATTGGAAGTGTTTCAGGCCAGGCTGGACAGGTCTTTGAGCAACCTGATCTAGTGAAACATGTCCCTGCCCATGGCCGAGGGTTGGACTACCTGATCTTTAAGGTCCCTTTCTACCCAAACCACTGTGTGATTCTATGATTCTAAGATCCTGAATCTCATTTTTCATCCTCCAGAATCAAACACAATAGTTCTGCTACATCTGGTGATGTGCTAAATGATCAAGAACCTTCTATCTTGCATCTCCTACTATACGATTCAACACAAAGATATGTATGTTGGCTCAAACTAATTCAGGGCATGAAATAAAAATTGTTATTTGACAGGAAGAAGGGGAACAGAAGGCAATATTAAAGTAGTATAAGGAACAGCAGATTTCAAAATCATAATTACCTGGGCAGATAATCCTAGTGTTAAGCACTGGGAGGTTCTCCTTGCTTGCAGCCAAAGCTGGAGCAGAGAAAGAGCCTGTCTGGGAATGGATACCTCGGCTTGTACGTCGATCTGGAGATCTTGGTGCAGTTTTAACTGTGCAGAAGAAGTAAAAGAGCACTTATTAGACCTATTATATTACCAAATACATAGTTTTTACAGTCTTGAAAATGTTTCAAAAACATTAATCTATTATTATTTCATGACAAATGTCCTTTCTCCTCACACCATAGTTTTTCTTCTAAATACAGGGAAGAAAACTCAGAAACAGGTTATGTGACAAATACAAACTAAAATGAACAAGTGTGCTCAGCATTCAATACAGGGAGTTCCTGATTTATACTTCAAGCTACTAGCAAAAACTGCATTATACCTACCTTAAAAAGCAATAGTGTTTAATGCTGTAGTAAGCTTCTGATAAACATGTTAATGAAGTAATATGACTTTAACCTTAAATTCAATCCGTACTTAGTTATAAATATACTTATATCATATAGTATATTATTTATAACAATTTTAACATAGATAGCTATTGTGACCCATAAGCCATGGAAATAGATGATCAACAACCATACTACTTGCTTCAAGCAGCTAAAATGGGCCCCCTGCCTGCATCAGGTTTCTGAAAACATGAGAAAAAACTCTGACATCTTTATCTACAGCTAAACTGAAAACTACAAGGGAAGGGAAAAAAACATGTTCAGACATACTTGTCTTCTGCAGTTAGAGAGATCATGGGAGCACCAGTTTCCCATCATCTTTTTCACAAAAAAACCTCACAGCAATTCCCAAAATAACGTATTTGTTAAAATTCTCCAGAAGATGGTTCAATAAAACTTTGTGACAGATAACATGGTGTGTTAGCTGATGTAATTGTTGGTGACAAAGGCTCAGGAAAAAGAAGGGGGAGAAAATCAAGGGGAAAGGGAAGATGTTCACAAAGAGTAAGTGGTAGCTCAGGCCAGTTATTCCTGGTGCTGGCTCTGGAGTTGATGAAGAATAGGCTTTTCAGAGGGCTGACCCCAGGTGCTGTAATTACTTTCCTGGCAGATCTTGTTTTATGCAGACTGAGAGAATATGCTGGTGTGTGCTTTAGCTAGGGAAGTTCATCTTTGTGAAATTCAGCCCCACTGGACATAGCCAGAAATTGGTGCCCCAGGGAAGAAAGTTTGTGTATTACCGGATGCTTTGCTATAGCATTTCCATGTGCATATACAAAGCTTTTGTAAACCAGATGACCATAGACAGACATTTGTTGGCTAGCTCTGCTCCAAATTATGTCACATGTTAAAAAGTACTTCAACTTAGGACACCTTCAGTCTTGACCATCTGAAGAAGCTCAGAACAAAAAATGAAATTATTTCCAAGTGATCTCATATAGTCCTCTCAAACCCTGAAAACTAATTCAGCAAAAATAGAATAATTAGGACTAGCACCAAGAAAGTAGAAGAAAAACACCACAAGAAATGTGGTGGGAAAGATAAAATATACTGGTTTTGTGGCAGGAGGGGGACAGATCAGTTCATATCAATCATGATCGCTCAGCCTGAGAGTAACATTGGTGTGCTGTATGAAAACATTAATGAAAGAAAATGTAGAGTGGGAAAATCCAGAGACAAAGGGAATAACAAGAACAAGGGTTTAGAAATTTTGTTCAGATCAATTCAGGCCAGGATTTGGGCATTCACTTTTTTTAAACTGATAATAATCTAGCATGGAATGGTCAATGAAATGGCAAGTTCTTCACCCTCATGTATTCCAAAAATAAGATAACGCATCTTTCTGGATGACTTGCTTAAGCCAAACAGAAATTATTAGATGCAGGACAGGGATAAGTGGCTGAAATTTTCTGGACTGTTTTATATGAAAACTCTGACCAAGTGGACTAACAGCTCCTTCTGACTTTAACATCTGTATAACAGCCTTAGCAATTATCACAACATGCTATAGTATTGCATGATAACAATACAACACAATGATTTGTATCTGTGCAAGACAAACCACTTTAATAGTGTTAAAAAATGAAAAGGAATAAAAAGTGCAAGTGATATGTAACAAGAGTTATTAAATATTTAGGTGAAGGTAATTAACATATGGAAAAATATTACCTTCATCAAATGGCCAGGAAGATCCTCAGAGGGTAAAATACAATATTCAGAGCAAAATTAACATTCATTTTTCATAATGCTACTGAAAAATTCACAACGCTGTTCACACAGTCTGTTCTCTCTGTACTTGGGAACAAGGCAGTTAAATAGGAAAATAAACAGAGCAGCTGCTCTTTATTTGACAGATGAGACTCATGGGGATAACTGCAATAAAGATAAACTTTTGCTGTTCATGCTCTGATAAAAACAACAGAGCCCTAATGAGTAAAGCTGATGTTTCACTGCAGATAATTGAATTCATGTTTTATGCTTTGTCCCTAAACACTTATCTTTCATCGACGGCATTAATATGCACTCTATTTCACACATATCAGATGTATGAAGAGTAATACAGCTCCCCATAAACACAGAAATTTTATCACCAAGAAACAAGGGGTTTATATATATTTCTACATATGGATATACATATGTGTATATTTTTATTATATATTTATGGCAGTAGGATTGGGTCATCCGTAGGGCCAGCACCCTCTATAAGCTAGTATTGAAACTGGACAACCAACAAGCATTGAGTCCTATAGCCAAGGGAAAAGGAGAAGGGCCAATGTAGAGATAATCACTGGAGAAAGTCTGACATCCATTCCTGGAGAAAAGGAAATGTGAGATTCTGAATCAACAGATGAGGACACCACCTTTGAAGGATGTTGGTGTGGATTAGGGTAACAGATGGGATGCAAATCCCAAACAAATTTGCTCATTTTGCCACAGGAAGTGCACAACAAATATCTAGAGGATGAGTTTTGTTGCCCACCAGCTACCACTGTTTCTCCATGACTCACAGATCATCTTGAAACCTCACCTGCAGTGCACTAATAGTAAGGCAAAGACTGAAATTTCCACCTATAGTAAGAAGCAGATTTCCTAAAATTACTACACAGCTTGAGACTCTTGAACAAACTGGTCACACAAACACCAGTCTACACAAAATGCAGGATTGATGTTTGTGATGGAAAATGTCCAAACATGACCTCTGGCTGGACTGGCTTGGTGCCAAAACCAAGCAAGGGAGGAGGTAAGGGCCCCATACAGACAAACCATCCTTCCTTCTTCCACTGCAGCCACTCACTGGCAGATTTCATAAAGGACACATGAAGGAGAGATTTTACCCTATCATTTGAATGTGGGAATTATTACTGTGCTATTTCAGGAAATGAGTATTCTCTGAATATCATTTTAAACACAGTAACCAAACAGTGAATAGCCAAAAGGAAAGCTTAGTGACAAAATGGGCTTTATGAAGCCCATTTACTTTCAGAAAATGCTATCTTCCAAGCAAGTTGTTTGAAACTCAGATCACTTAATATTCTAATTGCTTTGTACAATTATTGATACAAATAATACAACTGGGTTCTTTCAGTTGCATTTTAAAACCCAGCGTGGGCTACCCACGTTGTCTTCATTTTTCGTGGACAGTAACCTGAAGAGCCCCACAGTGAGGACAGAATGATGCTCCTACAGGAAGGCAGGAGTGATCAGAGGGCAGCAGCTGATAAAGGCCATCCAACCAAGGACAGGGCAGGTAGGGGGCTCTACACCTCAGAAAGCAAAAGTAGTTTGGTATAGTGGCTTGCTATATGGCAGCCAATAGCTGCAAGGAACTAGTTGGACCAATGACCTGTATTTGGGACAACACAAGAAATTTTTCATGGGAAGAAGCTATAGGATATCAAAGACTTTGGTTCAAATTTCTGTTCTGGATTAGACAAATAGAGGAGGTGACCTTAGTACTGCCACTTCTCAGGAGACTTCCATGCTCCAGTTTCTATTATATTCTTTCCTGCTTTACACTGTTCCTCTTTATATAGAGGACTTAAACATTAATTCTCTCTGTTCCAATAACTGTCTCCATGCAAGTTCCCAGCTGAAACATCAGGGGTTTGTTCTTAATACAATGAATTAATATGTCCATTTCACACAATTTGTAACCCCTTCTACAGAAATTCCTATAATATGCCCTAAAATACCTATGACTGAGACATGCTATTGCCACCATTACCTAGGCTCTAGTCCCTACACAGGTTTATGCAGAAAGGTGAGTGTAAACACAGAATTAAATGCAGGCACCTTTCTCCCCAACAGATATCTTCTCAGCTTTATAAATACATTCCAAAAGACTATTCATGTCATCTCCAGCATATTTTCCCCTAACTTTCATTTATCCAAATACATTAAAATTTGTGACTAATTTCCAATGAAACAGGATGCTATCCTCCATAATGTAACTATAAGGACTAGTTTTAAATTATTTTATTCCTAATTTACTCACTTGATATGGACTCAAGTTCCTTTGTATCTTCCTCTTTCTCCTCTTCTTTGGATTCATCCAATTCTTTGTTATATTCTAGTGGAGACTGGTTCACTTGTTCTTCACTATGAGCGTTCTGCTCATCCACAACTGCTTGTTTAAAAAAAAAAAAAAAAGACAAAGTTTCAAGATTTTTAAAGAAAAACTGCATACATGGAAAATTAGCTTCTTTCTTCTGTAGCTTTAAGTTTAAAAATATTAACAAAAGACTTCTATTGCCAGTTCAGTGAAAGTCTAGCAATCCTTTGCCCATTGATAAAGATTTGCCGCTAGAAATTTTCATTTTGTGGAGGATAATAGTTACAAAAGCAGCACACTTTTATATGAGCAGTCATGTGCATATATATGTATTCCTATATGCAGACAGTCAGTCATTAACATCCAAACAATCTGCACTTCTTTTCCTGCAGCTTGTAATAAGCACATAATTTTATCTATGTAAGAAAGTAGAAATCAAACTTTAATAATGAAAAATTATGGTAGTTTAAATAAAAAAGCATCATTATTCTATCAGTAAGGATCAAAGTGTTGCTGATGTGCACCTTTTTCTGCTTGTTCAATGATCTGCCTCACAGCCTTCTTCAAGCTGTTTGCCCGGAGCATTAATTGTTCCCTTGGTTTGAAGAGTTTCTGGGTGGAAGACTTTGAGACACACTCTGCTAACTGCTCTTTACTTTCAGACAAGGATTCTTCACTTGAAAACTCCTCTGCTTCTTCTTCTACAATGGGGGGAGTGATGCCTGGGAGAATGGGAGCAGCCTGGGCTTCTGTGTGAAGAGCCTGGAGCAATAGGTCTAGCTTCTCATTTAACTCGGAGCACTAAGACAAAGCAGAAAAGAATATACACACACAGTGAACGTGTGAACATTTTCAGGAAATAAAGTACCAGATTATATTTAACATTTTTGGTGTCTTAAGAATTTCTGTAATTGTTTATGTGAAATCTAAACCTAGGTTCAACATTTTGGAATATCATATTATGAGTAGGTATGCATCTTTTTTTTCAGACAAATCCTGTGACATCCAAACAGATTAATTACAGCCAAAAAACTCTACACTAGGATTAAAAAAACACACCATGCTAAACTCAGCCTGCCACATAACTAGGGTACAGTTCATATATACTCCTCTCCTGATGGACTGCAGCATGGAGAACCACCACAGCCCATACCATGCATTATCAGAAACCATGGGTGCTCAGTATCCCAGTTTGGAGAGATAATCTACAGGGACATGCCCAGCTGTTAGACTGAGACACATCGGGGTTTTTTTGCAACACAGCTGGACATTTAAGCAAGTGAGTTGTCACAGAGCAAAGAGGCTCAAGTCAGAACCAACCACTGTTAAACACCTCTATCCATCACTAAGCAGTTGTTCTCTTCAGGTACACTGGAGAAGAGATGATTTTCTTGCTTAAAGGAAAGGAAACCAACATTGGCCTTGAAACAGTAAAAAATAAAAATTCATTTTCTAAAATGTGCACTGAATAGAAACATGAACCACAAGTTGCCATTTAGCAAGTACATTTCCTGATTCTGGGTTTGTTAGTGATTTTGTTTTCCCCTCTTCAGCTCATGTAAATTTTGTGCCTCATATCAAATCCTTCTGGTTTGTTCTCTTTTTTTTATTTTTTTTTTTTTTTTAAATGCTTTTGCAACATGTTCTCTACAATTTGCAGCTTAAACCATTAATTTTAACACTGTAGTCCCTCTTCCCTTCATTCCCCCAGCATATTCTCTCTTCATTATCCCACTGTTTTCCTGTAGCTAACTTAATCCCTAAAAGTATAACTCCTAACACAAAATATTTCCTTTTATCTCTACGTACATTACTACAAACTTTATTGTGTATGAAGAAAAAAGGTGTAAACAGAGTTTATAGAGATTTTAGACTTTAAAGATGGTTTGTAAATAACTGTTCTATGCAATAAGAAAAGAAGAATTTTAAAGTCACTGGTTGAAATGAAAGCCAAGCTGGGCATCCTGGAGCACTTAGAAAATTAAACACCCATGAATTCTAAACTTTAAAAAACCTGCAACTTTAAACCAGAACATAGTCATAGTCTTACTTTAATGGCCATAGCATCAGCTTCTTCTGCATTTTCCATTGGTTTTTCGTAAGTCTTCCCTATTTTGGCAACAAAGTCCTTTACAGTTTCACATAATATTCTTCAGATAAAAAAGAAGATGGGAGAAATCAAATTAAATAAAATAGATACATTTTGAGTATTAAATCCTTATGGCAATTTATTTATACGGATACTGCTAGAGAACATTCTTGTTGGAAACTGAACTCTGTAATCATACTTGCAAAGTAGATGACACTATTTTCCATGACTTGCAAAATTCAAGTGATAAGCTTTAAAAAAAACCCTCTTCCTCCTTTTTATTTAAGTCTTTGCACACATGGTATCCAAGTCTCTTATTTCAAAGAACTGAAATAAACACAACTAATTTTATCCATTCCCTTGCTTGTACACCTTCTATTCCAGAGGAATTAGCAAACTTGTATTCACTTTGATAACTTCTTCACACAGTCTTCTGAACTTCCATTCAAATATGGAGCCTTGGAATCACAGAGATAATCTACTGACTTTAATGGAGCACTTAGATGAAAGCATATGGCTACACAGGTCCCACTGCATAGCTCATGCTTTTGAACCACAGCTGACCCTGCAATGAATTTTCATTGTTTAAACTAGAGAAAGACTTGGTTCTTATTACCTACACTGCAGACAGACAGAAAACTTACTAACAAGGTGTGGATAACTGCTTAGCACTGTTCATTTGGTTGAAATTTATTTGACAGAAATTAAATAGATTTAACAAGATACAGAATCAATTTAGAATCTGGAGTTATAATAATATTCTGCAGTTTAATTTTCAACATGTGCTATGCATACTTTAAAATGAAATTTTATTAGCTTGTTTTCAGCAGAAAAAAAAAGAAGAGGTGTAATGGCATTCAGTTGTATTTTTGAAGATTCTACAACTGGTCTTTTGCATATTGTAAAATACAAGATTTTTTTCTCCACAGAAAAGGTATACACAGAAGACTTTTGATTTCAGATGATGTCCATGATTTGCCAAGTAATTATATCTAATTTTTGAGTGTTTCAGTTTGGGGAAAAAAACCCTATTGACTGAACTGATATAGACAGAGATATGACAAAGCTACCTAGCCCGAAGTTCTGCTTCACATTGGTGAAGTTCTTTGTCCTCTTAAAGATATGGATATGCACAAAACAAACCAGAAGAAATGTAAAGTAGATCACATATTCACATTAGTAACAGTAAGTTTCATATTTACGATGCATGCTGATTGGGAGTGATGTAAAATCAATTTATATCAATACTATGTGATTTCTTTAAATGCTGATGTGTTTAGTATTAAGCTATCCATTACAATTATATCATATAAAAATTTTGCAGAAAAGGCATCCACTCTAAAAGATATAAATTAAGATACATTAAGCCAAGACAGTCAGGCCAGCTGTAAGAAAACCAGGCTTAGGCAGAAGGTTATTATGGTGATGATGTTACACAGGGGATTTATCCCACACATTGTACATAAAACCGATCAACTCACTTGGCAGATGATATGACAACTGAGTGCTGATCAGAATTGAGAATTTTTGCAAGATGAGCAGCAACTGAATCCTCATAAGCAGATATCTGAAAACACAGAGAAAAAAGACTTCAATTTCCACACTTTTCAGTAGTTTAACACCAAGCAGTGAGTTAAAACGGCTCCAAAAATAGCAGGATTTCCATTTCAGATCTAATACAAGGACAAGCAGCTGGCAATGCAGATTCTACCTGCATACTGTATTTTACGTACCAGATTTTTAATATTCAAAATAACACTGCATCTGAGAACTTGATCCACAGCTCTTTTCCTCTTGTAGAGAAAACAGTAAGTTATTTCTAAGCTAAAAATAGTTCATGAGGCAGAAAAAAAATCTACCTTATTTTTAAATTTATAACAAGCTGTACTATTAAAATCTATTTTTTTTTCTAAAACAAGCAAAGTTTTCCTCAAACCAAGCTGCTCAACTAAGAATAAATCAGAAGTTTGCCTTTATAATCCTGAATTTTATTTTTACTGTCAGATAGGCTCTTAATCTACAAGTACCTCTACTGACAAGGGCTGCTAAAACTGGTATTATGTAATCAAAACAAATCCTTAAGGAGTAAGCCATCTATGGCTTAATCTTTACAAGAATGTTTAGGAGGATGAATGTGAGCTTTGTCCGTCTTTTCTTGCACAGAATAATTCTAAGTTCTGAAATACTCAGGAAAAGGTTTGAAATGAAACAGAAATGCATTCTCACACATTATATCCTGTCTCAAAATAGATACAGATCCAATCTCAATTTAAAAAAAAAAATTCTAATCAAATTCCAAATCTGAAGCCAAAAATAAATGTAAGTTCTGAAATTTTCTGATGGCTTCCTTTAAGAATCTCTCAAATCTCTTGGCATGTTTTTGCCCTTGATATGAAGCAGGTAGATAGAGCACCCTTTTTTTTGTCCTAAACTTCAGCCTTAGTTGTAGAACTCTGACAGTAAATCAGTTTTCATTTCAAGGAAAAAACAAGACAAAACTTTCTAATCTGTGAGAAAGAACTATTGTTTTTCAAACATCAGTATAAGATACTGGAACCAAAACATGTGAAATAAGTCCCCTGAAACTGGAGGAAAGAAGAAAAAAAAAAGAATCAGATATGTACTTCTATTTACTTTTTCAATTGTGCTTTAATACACTACCTACTGTAAGGTTAATTATGCTTTTTCTGAAATATCGTAACTAAATAAACAATGCAAAAAACATTATAAAATAGAGATTGAACAGGGTACTCAATAGAAAATGGCTTGTCCAATTCAGAGTAACTATAGTCTACAGGGCTAATTTTCTAAAAAAAGAAGTTTTATATGAGCAGTTGCATTTTCAGGAGGAGCTACACACAATTTCAAAGGCCAAACTAACTAGAACAAAATGTAAATTTTTTCCTCTACAAGATGAAGTTCCACTTGAAAACTTTTACTGGTTTGAAAAATTAGAGAATAGGTAAAGCTTTAGTATGCATTGCATACACTAGAAACAGAGCTGTGTGCAAAGCAACACCATTGCTCCTGTGATGGGAGTGCTGGAACCGAAGGATACAGGCTCTTTAGGAAAGACAGGCAGGGAGACAAGGAGATGGTGTCACCCTCTATGTCAGTGACCAGCTGGAGTGAATGGAGCTCTGCCATGGATCAGAAGCCAGCCAAGGGTTTATGGGTCAGGATTAAAGGCAGGGCAGAGACAGGTGACACCATTGTAGGGGTCTGCTACAGGCCACCAACTAGGAAGACCCAGCAGATGAGGCCCTCTACAGATAGGTGGGAACAGACTCACATTCACAAGCCTCATGGGGGATTTCAGTCACCCCGATATCTGTTGGAGGGACAACACAGCAGGGCATAAGCAATCCAGGAGGTTCCTGAAATGCGTGGATGATAACTTCCTTCTCCAAGTGATAGAGGAGCCAACAAGGAGAGGTGCTGGGCTGGACCTTGTTCTCAACCACGAGGAGGGGCTGGTGGGGAATGTGAGGCTCAAGGGCAGCCTTGGCTGCAGTGCCCAGGAAATGGTGGAGTTCAATACCCTTAGGGCACCGAGGAGGGCGCACAGCAAGCTCACTACCCTGGGCTTCAGGAGAGCAGACTTTGGCCTTTTAAGGGATCAGCTTGGTAGAGTGGCATGGGATAAAGTCCTGGAAGGAAGAGGGGCCCAAGAAAGCTGGTTAATATTCAAGGATCATCTCTTCCAAGCTGAGGAGCGATGCATCCCAACAAAGAGGAAGTCACACAAAAATGCCCAGAGGCCTGAGTGGATAAACAAGAAGTGCCTGGACAAACTCAGACACAGAAAGGAAGCCTACAGAGGGTGGAAGCAAGAACAGTTAGCCTGGGAGCAATACGGAGAAATTGTCCAAGCAGCCAGGGATCTGGTTAGGAACATCAAAGCCCTGATAAAATGAAATCCGGCCAGGGACATCAAGGGCAAAAAGAAAAGCTTCTACTGGTGTGTTGATGATAAAAAGAAGACTAGGAAGAATGTGGGCCCTTTCCAGAAGGAAACAAGAGACCTGGTTACCTGGGACATGGAGAAGGCTGAGGTACTCACTGACTTCTTTTGCCTCAGTCTTCACTGGCAAGTGCTCCAGCCACACTGCCCAAGACACAGAAGGTAAAGGCAAGGACTGGGAGAATGAAGAATCACCCACTGTAGAATAAGATCAGGATCAAGACCACCTAAGGAACCTGAAGGTACACAAGTCCATGTGACCTGATGAGATACATCCATGGGTCCTGAGGGAACTGGTGGATGAAGTGGCTAAACCACTATCCATCATATCTCAGAAGTCATGGCAGTCTGATACAGTTCCCACTGACTAGGAAAGGGGAAGCATAACCCCCATTTTTAAAAAGGGAAAAAAGGAAGACCCAGGGAACAGGCCAGTCAGTCTATCCTCTGTGCCCAGCAAGATTATGGAGTGGATACTCCTGCTAAGGTACATGGAAAATAAGGTGACTGGTGGCAGCCAACGTGCCTTCACTAAGGGCAATTCGTGACTGATAAATTTGGTGGCCTTTTATGATGGTGTTATAGTGTTGGTGGATAAGGGAAGAGCAACTGACATCATCTACCCAGACTTGTGTAAAGCATTTGACATAGTCCTGCATGACATCCTTGCCTCTAAATTGGAGACCTGGATTTGATGCATGGACCACTTTGCATATAAGGAATTTGCTGGATGGTTGCACTCAAAGAGTTGCAGTCAAGCGCTTGATGTCCAAGTGGAAACCAGTGATAAGTGGTGTTCCTCAAGAGTCCGTACTGGGACCAGTGCTGTTTAACATCTTTGTAAGCAACATGGACAGTGGGATGGAGTGACCCTTAGCAAGTTTGCCAATGACACCAAGCTATGTGGTGTGGTTGACACACTGGAGGGATGTGCAAAGGGACATTGACAGGCTTGAGAGGTGGGACTGTGCAAACCTCATGAAGTCCAACAAGGCCAAGTACAAGGTCCTGCACATGGGTCAGGACAATCCCAAGCACAAATACAGGCTGCGCAACGAGGAGATTGAGAGCAGCCCCAAGAAGGACATTGGGGTGTTGGCTGACTAGAAGCTCAACATGTCCCAGCAGTGTGCTCTTGCAGCCCAGAATGCCAACCATATCCTGAGCTGCACCAAGAGAAGTGTGGCCAGCAAGCTGAGGGAGGCGATTCTCCCCCTCTACTCTGCTCTCATGAGAACCCACATGGAGTAATGCATTCAAATCTGGGGACCCCAACATAAGAAGGACATGGACCTGTTGGACCAAGTCCAGGAGAGCCACAAAGATGATCAGAGAGCTGGGGCACCTCTTCTATGAAGACAGGCTGAGAAAGTTAGGGTTGCTCATCCTGGAGGAGAGAAGGCTTCAGGGAGACCTTATAGCAGCCTTCTGCTACCTAAAGGGGGCTACAGGAAAGATGGTGAGGGACTTTTTACAAGGACATGTAGTGATAGGACAAGGGGTAATGGTTTTAAAGTTGAAAGAGGGTAGATTTATATTAAGTGTAAGGAAGAAGTTCTTCACTGTGCAGGTGGTGAGGCCCTGGCACAGGTTGCCCAGAGCAGCTGTGGCTGCCCCCTCCCTGGCAGTGTTCAAGGCCAGGTTGGACGGGGCTTTGGGCAACCTGGTCTAGTGGAAGGTGTCCCTGCCCATGGCAGGGGAGCTGGAACTAGATGATCTTTAAGGTCCCTTCCAACCTGAACTATTCCATGATTCTATGAAAATCCCAGCCAGTGAAGCCCCAGCACTTTTGCATCTCTATATTTAGCAAGCTGTCAAAGGTTATAACCAACACCCTTACTTGGCTCCTTGCCAATTAAAACAGCCTGAATTATTAAATTATTCAAGAACCTGCTGATTAATTATTGCTTCACAAGTACATTTAAAAGTTCATATGCATTCACTTTCTTAGGAATATATTATTTTCTCATTTGTAGTCAGACTTTCCATGCAATTAATTTGATTAAGCATCTCTGTCTCTCAAAATCAAAACCTCATCAGATAGCACAAGCACAAATCTAGTCTGAAAACAGACTAAGCTTTCCTTTGAGGTCACTTATGATTTTGAGCTCTCCGAAAGAACAAAGAGAAAGTTGGGTGGTATCACCTGATCCAACTCAAACCGCAAAAAGCTTCTCTCTTCCTTTCAGAATACAACCTCTGCCTTAGAAATGTTGGGGTTTTTCCAATGGTTGTTCCAATCTCAAGATAACAAATACTTTGCCTTTAAATATATATATATTTTAAATTTTTATATGTATTATTATAGTATAGATATTATTATACAATAATAATACTGAATCATACACTTACATACAAAATAATATGATATATTATCATATATAATAATTGTATAAATATATAATGTATTAAATAATAATATAATACAATGCTATAGCCTTATATAAAATATAATATAAAATAAACTATTTTACAACATTTATATAGAAATACATTTTTCAGGAAGAAATTTTTATGACTGCTCTGCTGAAGACTCCTTAATTTCATTCATTTTTGGCAAATAATACAGAACTGGAAACCCTAATTACTTGAGATATACGCCATGAACAGACATTAATTCAGTTTAGTTAGCAGATCACAAAATGTGTTTCTATTTTTCACACAAGTGCTTCAGTTACAAACATTGTCACCCTATAAACTCAAAGGTAAGTATATGAAACAATGAAACAAAAGTAAAAATCTACCTGGCATTCCTCTGACTCTTCTGCAGTCACTGGAAGAATAGAAGGCTTTGCTGGTAATTTCAGTTCATATGACATTATACTCCACCTGAAAGAAACATAACAGCTTTTAAGTTTTCAGATTGTTAGTTTTATCTTTTCTTCAACATATCAACATAAAGAATATTCAGAGAATAACCACAGAATAAGTTGTTAAAAAAAAAAAGCTTAGTTTTTTAAAAAATATTTTTAGTAAACTAATTGCATATGGGTAAAATATTTGAGATTAACAGTAATAATTTGTTTTATTGATCTGATTGTTTGTTAGCGATTTGATGATGAGCCTTATTTGTGAACAAATCATATGATATTCAATGCAGGCAACAAAGATTTTCCAGCAAAACATTCACAATATAAAAGAATTTGGGAAAACTAACTACAGAAGTCAAAGGAAAATAGACATTTTCCTAGAGTAAAAGCTCTAAGGTAACATTAGCTTTTCATCTCAACTAGGGGAGGCAGACATGAGAACAAAGCAAACAGTGAAGTATTTTCATTGACATATATATTCATTTTCCCCTGGTAAAGGACACTACTCTAGAGCATGGATAGTATGAAACCACTAATAGCACCATCCTTCAAAGCCTGCTGAAAAGAACAAGTAATCACCACAGATGGCCTTGGGAGCAAAGTCTACTGAGATTAGAGCAAAAAAATGAAACTGAGCTTTTTTTTCAGTACAGAAAAAGGCAAACATGACTGAATCTACAAACCTTTTATAATGCCCAGGCCAACAATTGTTTCTAAGGATCAGTAACAAGCATTTCTCTACATACTTTGCTGCAAAATGATCAAGTAGTCTGCAGAAAAGCTTAAAATGAAATGGGACTTGTTTCTCTATTTCATTAAAAAAACCCATAAAATCCCCTTTGATAACATTCTAGTGTTTGTAACTAGAACAAGAATTGAAACACTCACAAGAGGAAGGAACAGAGTAAGAAATACTCTCAAAACCAGTGTTATGCTTTCACTGACATGACATGACTATCATCTCTGACTTTTTTTATAATGAGGATTGCTCCTTTGCCTTATGGGTGGAAGCCACACAAAACAGGACTGGCAAGATCTCTTGTTTTTGACTAAGAAAATGCCTCAAACAGTAATACTAATAGTGGATCAAGCCAAAGATCCAGTTAACCCAGCGTCTTGTCACAGCTGATGCCTCAGGAAATTATATGAAGGGTGAAACATGTGATGTGAGTTCTCCCCACATCCAAGGACAGAGTTCAGGTGTTTCCTAAATAAAGATGCTACCTTTAATGGTATTTAAAAGCATGCATGGAGTCCATAAAACTGCCTCCAACAGTTCTGAATCTATACAATTTCGTAATGCTTACAACTTCTTATAATAGGCAGTTATGAAGCTTCATCAGTTATGCAATAAACTGTCACCTTTTGTTCATCTTTGGACAACACACTTCCTAGTTTTATCAACCACTCTCCCCTCTGACTCTTTAGATTAAAAAGGACATTGAAAAGCTATCCCCATTACTATCTCGGCTTCCCTCATAATTATGATCTTTGCCCTAAAAAACAAAACCACTGAACACTAACTAAGTCTCTAAGATGCATTTAGGCCATCAGAAACCTAAATACAATTTGAATATCATGGTAAATCATGTATATATGCACATTTAGGTTTACCTGTCTAACATTTTTGTGCTGGCTCGTTCTAGTTTCTCCAAAATCTGAGGAAGTTGCGTATCATCATCACAGGATCCTCCCCAACCAAGGACACGAGCAAGGTCATTTCCAGTACCGAGGGGTAACACTCCTAACTGACACTGAAACACAATACAGGAGCAAATCTATTATTGAAAACTAAAAAGTACAAACTATTACAAATGCTTGTTATTTCAAGCAACAAATGTTAATTATATAGTTGATGTCTAAAGTTTGTAAATCAAATTGTGTAATCCAAATACAACTTGTACTGTTTACACAAGTGAAAATTTTCATTTAACAGTAACTATTGAGTTTGGCCCACATACAGAGATATGGCAAAGAACCAAGTCAAGAAAAAGTAAGCATACAAAATTAAGTCTAGTCAATCAATATAGTCAAGGAAAGTAAGAATGCACACTTGCCTGTTTGTGCAAGCTGAGCTTATCGATTTCTGACAAGACCCAACCCACACTTCCATCACCACCACAAACAAGAATCCTGAAGTTGTCAAACTTCTGAAATAACCGCAAACTGCAGAGAAAACACAGCCTGTTAGAGCCAGTTACGTCCATTAGCAAGAGAGCAGTTATAATCATTAGCAGCTGTTACAAGAAAATATGGTGCATAGCACCTTTACGGTCCTTTTCTTGTTCTGGGGTATGTAGATACAACCATCTACTTAATAAACCTATCTGCATCACATCTCTTGCTGTATATTCCACATATGCTGCCATTTCTGATAAATAACATGCAATGTTTTATTTAAAAACATTCCCTTGATATTGTTTTCAGGATTTTATTAATATTATTTTATTAATATTATTAAAAAATTTCTAAGCTATGAAATTGCAACTACTCTATGTTGCCACTTTAGCCAGAAGCACAAGGCACCAGTGGGGATTTTTCACGAGGACAGGTTAAGACACAACAGGATGTGCTCCACAACATGGGTGGGCTTTTGCCAACACGTGACTAACTAGATGCAAGGACTGTTGGAGGCAATTATTACACATAAGGTGATCACAACAACATAAGACAAGTAATACAACAATTCCATATGAAATCCTTAAAGCCATATCCTGCTTTTACTTCCTATGGCTCTTCCTCCTGTTCTCTGAATTTTAACACCCCCAGGGTACAACACTTGGGCAGTACAGAAAAGAAGAACAAGAGAGACAGAACAAGCAGAAAGGTGAGGCACAGAGGAAAGGGGAATGAGATGTAAAGAAACAGCCCCAAGGTAAAAACAACAGGGATTTAAACTTAAAAAAAAAAAAAAAAAAAAAAAGTTATTTTCCAGAATATGTATAAACTCAGAACTATTTCTAAAAAGCAACATATTAAGATCACAAATTTTTGAAGCATTTATATATTTTCTGAAGAAAATAATGTCACTTGTATATGACAGACAGATATCTATTCAGAATAAAAGATGTAGATACTTAAGGAAAAAAATGTTGACACCAGAACAATTTCTCCTCCCCTGAGAAAAGAGAGAAAACCACTAGAAATACACTATCTCAAACAATGCAACTACTTTTTAGATCAACTAGAAAAAAGAAGACAACAGCATGACCTGACAGAATAACTGCTAAGGACCTCTCTTTGGAAACTGGGAAAAACATTTAAAAGCAACTAACCTGACCTATAATTGCTGTGCAAAACAAAAATGAGCCTCCTGAACCATGCCGCTGTTAGATACAACTATATGAAGCAACAGAACTTGCCAATAGACAGACATATTTTTCAGTGTCCTCTCTTAAAAATTGTCTCTCCAATTAACGTGAACTTTTATCTATCATTATAATTACAATTACATGTTAGCCAAATGAGACTATATGTGTTATAATGAAAATAATATTGCAACTTAGAGAATTACTGCAATACATCCACAACACTGTACTAATTATGAAAATCCACAGCTGTATTTCATTATATTTGTATTATTTCCACTGTTTGAACTGAATTTTTGTGCATTTGTTTTGTCTACATTTTTAGCATGCAAGCATAATTCTGCATCTTTAAGAGTACAAAAATTAGTGTTTCTAGTTGCTGTAACTAACAGGCCATTTAACCACAATGCTAAATGTGAGTGGAATGAAGTTAGGCAACAGACAAATGTGCATCAATTTAATCTTTATGAATGTGCAAAGATGCTTGGGTTGTGGCCACTTCTATGCTAATTTCATCTCTATCTTTCCAACGATCAACCCTGCGATTTTGTAGACTGCCTGATGGTTTTGTGTTCTTGCTGCAAATTTTGTGAGATGATCATATTCTTGACCATTTGCATACGTTGCCTAAGCCATATTTTGAATGCAATTTTCAGATGACGAAAGTTTTAGTGTACTCATCCATCACCCACTGCAGACTCCCCCATGGACAATTGTGTTCAGAATTCAAAAAGATTCAGAGTACATTTAGACAATAGTTTTATTCCATAGCTATTCACAACAAAGTCATAGGAATACCTGAATTATGCACATCAAATGGACAAAAAGCATCTGGGGAACTGTGCAAAAAGGCTCTGATTCAGGAAAGCATCTAAACTTTTGTAATGGTATTGAACCTTACCAGTTAACAGAAGCCAAAGCTAGCCAAAAATCCATAAAATACTTGGGCTAATAGGTTTTGATTTTGAATTTTCAAGTGAGTTTTTCTAAAAAAGAAAGTATTAACCTGCCATCCCTTCACCCACCAGAATTCATACTGAAATTCTGTTACCTCTTAGATTTTAATCAGGAAGTCACAGTAGATATTGGTGGTAGAATTAGAGCAACAAGGGGAAAACACAACACTACACTTTGCACTAAATTCCCTTGCAAAAAGGATTGCTCAAGATTTCCAAGGTCATTACCCTAAGTGAGGTCCTCCATTCATTAAATCGAACACCTGAGCTGGATTTAACGACTGTTTGAATCGACGAAGAAACTTTACTCCCTGATTGTCTCCACTCTTTGAGTTAACAAAAACTAAAAGAGGACTGGCACAGGATGGCGGGCATGTGGCTTTCCAGAAACCTGTGAACATAGTTAGAAAGAATGAAATAAATAAGGCTTTCTAATATGAACAACACAAAAAGAAATAATGGGAAAGAGGAAGAAAGGGATGAAGAACAAAAGGAGTACATTTTATCATGCATAATGTAAATGCTAAACTGAATATTAGCCCTGCAAGGAAAACATAATTGCTCAAGATTTACCAGTTCATTTTTTTCTTTCCAGTATTTTCAGTGCCAAATTTAGTAAAATCCTGAAGACAATAGCTTTACTGTTTTTTCACAGCAAAAAACATTTTAGAATAAAAACCTTTTAGAATACTTCTCAAATCTCATCTTCACAGACTTTCACAAAATTAAATATATATATATTTCAGTTACAAGTGTTTGGTTTTAAATCTGATTTTTCTTTAACCTTACTGGATTGAACTGGAACATCCACATCTGAACTTTCTAAGAGTACTCAGACAGTTTAGAAGTTACTGTACTCAGATACTCCCAGATGAAACTCTGCATGAGAACTTTTTTCTTAGACTGAAGTTACCCAATTAATTGTAATAGAATCACTGAACAACAGACCTTCAGCTGTGATCCAAAGCTTAAAGTCAATGCAGGTTTTAATTAATCACAGCAGGCTTTCCATAAGGCCCTTAGTGAGTAGTAGTAATGAACATTGTTGTCACTAACATGACCAGTCCATGGAAATAGTGGTTTCTCAGCAACACTTCAAAATCAGACATCACAGGTCTAGGTTTTGACATTTATTTCCGTCAAAATTACCATGTTGTTTTCAATTACTAAAATTACAAATAAAAAACTGGCATTGAATGCTAATTTAATTCTACTTTATCATTATGTATAATTTAAAATAAGGTTTGATTAATTTATTTAAATGCCAAGGAAAATAATTTCACATATTGAACAACCCTCCTAGTATGAATAATAAACAGCAGCATGACGCCCTTGTCTAAGACACAGCAAGTAAATAGAGTGAATATATACAGCATAAATTATCACTTTTACTTACTTCATACAATAAAATTCATTAAACTGTGTTAAAGTTGTTGGTCTATATTTGACATCAACACAAACTATAAAATTAAAGCAGTTAGATTTCATGACACTCCTTAGTAAATCAATTCCCTGACTTTAAGTGCTCTATCCTGAGCCACCAAAGATCATCTCTTGAGTTCTGAACATTTGCTGGGTTTTTATCTGCGTGTTGTAGAATTCTTACACTGCTTATATTTAAAAGAAATTTAGAGAAGCTATCGAAGTAATTCCTCTCCTTAGCCTGGTAAAGTAGTTGCTGGATCTGAGCTGTTCAGCTGGCTTACCTCTGCATAAAGCAGTTATCCAAAATTTGAGAACTCACAGAACGAGCGGTGCATGCCAGGCAGGCATCAGCCCACCTCACCTAAGGACTCTAGTCATCCATTTGAAAAGTTTCCAGTGGTCATAAATAAATTAGGAGAAAATGTCTAGCGGGGGAACTTTCAAAAACATTTTTAAAATCATGTCAGTTAAATTATACTTTTGTCTAAGTTTGAAGACTGAATTCACCTGCTCAGCAGGAGGATTTTAGCCTTGTTTAGTTATACAGATCTCACTAGGCACTACAAGTCCAGAGCTACCACTATACATGCTGCAATACTACGTACCATCAGAGTCTATACTGTTTAGTGCTGTTGGAGGTATGATCGATACCTTACATTGGCCAAGTGGACATTTACGAGGATACAGATCTTTACAGGCAGTGTGAACCTACAAAAGAAAGAAAAATTATTTCCCTACAGTGGAATTTTGGGGTGAAAGTATAACTAATACAGTACCTATGTAACAAAAATGGACTAATATATAACGTTTTGGAGTAGAGGGAAAAGAAGCAATACTGGAAAAAAGACATATAAGTGTTCAACCACAAAGGCTTCTAACTCACTCCACGTAAGTTTGTAGTACTTCACCTTCAGTTACCCCTATAGCAAATATGAATTGTCCTTTCAAGGGAATCACTTATATCCATCCATGAGCAAGGGAAGACCAAGTTCCCAGCAGTCAGCACACTGTGCACATTCAAAGCAATAGCTCTGTATGTGCCTGGTCCACGTGGTTGTTGTGGAAGATGTAAGTGCACAAAAGCTAGCACACCTACCAAGCCAGACCAACTCACCAAATGTGGGTCCCATAAACTATGCAAGGTAGAGGTCTCTTCCATAGTTATTGGAAAAACAGACACATTCAGAGGATGCTGCACTTCACCTAAATTTCAAATCACCTCTGGAGATGCCAATCATTTCCCACTGCCTACAAACAGAGCCTTGGACATCTAAAGGCCGAAACCTTCCACAACAAAAAACCTGCTGACTATCCACTTCTGTACCCTAGCATATAAACCCCACATTCTTAGACAAGTTAAAAAAAATTACAAGAAAACTGTATTTTGGGGAAACAGCAATAGCATGTTATAGGGTATCAATCAGCAACCTACAGAGTGTCCTGAAGAAGAGAACTCCAAGATTTTGCATTAATAAAAATATTACTACACTAATAATAAGAAATATTAATATTACTAGTATTACTAAAATATTATTACAGCAATATCTGTAATAAGACAGACAGGAAAGTAACATATGATTATCAGGCATAAGGAACAGGCATCTGTTATTGTTTAGAAGGCAGAGAAAACACACTGGATGACAATACCTATTTAAAAAAAAGCTGCATCTATGGGCATATTAAAAATTAACTGAAGTCCGGGAAGGACAGTCATGAGAAATGACAAATGTTAGAGAGACCTGAGTTTGCACATGCAGCCTGCTCCTACTTAATACAAAAACATGGTTGTGAAATGACAAAATGAAAATAAAGGCAAGCAATAAAGCTGGCAAAATCTTAGCCCCTTGGACATGGCTCTTTGCACCTACCATAGCTTTACACCAAAGGCACTTCCAATCTTGCAGGCGTAAAACACTGCCACAAGTCTTGTCGCAGACTGCGCATTTGGCACTGACAGGCAGGTTACCCTCTAACCACTGGTGAGGCATAGCTATCTGTGAAGAAGTAGTCATAAATGTTAAATTGTCAGAGAGAAATTAGAGGCTTTTGCCTCTCAAACATAGGTGAACTTAATCTATTTCCCACAGCTCTACCTGTTCATCAAAGAAGCAGGTGTGGCTGACCAGGATAAGGGACATTGATGCTCCCAAGGCAACAGCTATGAATATGGACTATGGTGGTATTTCACATGTTAGGCAGAAAATGTGACAGCTGAAGAAGGGAGACACATCTCATTCAGCTATTCATGGTACTACAGTAGCAACTAACTACAAAACAACAGGACAGTTAAATCTAAAGACTCCGTAATTCAAATAAGTACCCATTCATTTAATGTAGACTACATGATACAAGACAATTAAAATAACTAAAATTCAGAAGAATAGGCAGGACAGCAGAATAGCTCTGTGGCTCTTCATAACACACAGACACACACCCCTGCTGTTAAGTCACAACTCTATAAAACAGTCCCTAAATGCAGTGCAAAGCTTTACTCAGTGCACTCTTTATCCCATTAATACCACTGGCAACTCCAGACACTCGTAGGTGGGCAACTTAGTACTCACCTTCTAGAAAGGAGTTTAATGTCATGGCACATACATAGTTGTGTCTGCAAAAATAACCTATCTATTACAATAAATTTCTCCTGCTAATTTTAAAATTCTTGCTTTCATCAGTAAACCCCTCCCCACATGTCAGTGAACTCCAAACAGGTCTCCTGAGGAACAGCTATTATTAAGGAGGACACAAAGCAGATTGCCAAAAGAGCATGGTAAGAGTATAAAATACCACCTGTGCTTAAGAGCAGTACGAACTTCTGAGAGCAATTCTCCAGCTTCAAAGTTTCTCTGCATGTGGCCTTTAAAATCTTGTAACACGGCTGCAATCTAGTGGCCGCAGATACTATATGTGTCTTGTGAGATAGGAATATAACTTTCGTTCTAAATACCACATTAATCTTTGAAAAGTGTTCAGGAATATAGCAACCTACCATTAACTCTGATGTGCCACCTGGCAATATTTCCATGCTTAGCCTTTTTTTTCCCCACATGAAGAATAAACAGCTTTGGAAAATACTGTAAATACAAATAATACTTACACCATCTTCATCTTCAATGATGTCTTTTCCAATTGAAGCTAATGTAGTCCATTTGCAGTTATTTGTTGCGCGGACAGCACATCTTTTATGTGCTTTAAACTTACACACTGGAAGGAACACAAACATGTATACTATGTTATTTGCTGCATTTTAGTGATGTGTATCTTTTAAAAAAATAAACATAAATATTTCACTAAAAACATCCAAGTATATGTCACTTAGTGTTGCACACATGACAACCCAACTAGAAGAAAATTCAGTTCATAGTCACTCCAGCTTTATCTTTCTAAACTGAGCTTAACTGCTTAGCTGTAGTCCATGTTAGGTGTGTCCTCAAATCCAGGTCAGTCCCCATTTTTTTCAGGTGCAATGCAAGGTACTAAGGTATAAATATATCTTAACTGTGTATTTGCCTTTTCTATTCCTCCAGTGATACAACTCATATACCTGGTTTAAATTTGCAAAAGGTGATGGGAGAGTGTTTCACAGAAGTATTTTGCTTCAGGAGCTCTGTTTCTTTGCTTAAAGGATCATTTTTGGGCACCATACTATTCCTGTTTCCCAGAAGCTGAGAAAGTGAAGGATTAGGTGGTGATATATTTATTCACAATTGTCCCAATCCAATGTCAGGGGAGGTTTCGATATGATCCCAAGAGCAAGAACTAATCATTACAGTATTTTCCATTACATTAAGTGAGGAAGAGACTGACTTCTTACTGGATTGTTTATTGAAGATCTACTAATTGGAATACTCAGCACAAGTGTGTGGTACAAGCAGAATTTTAACAATAAATAGTAACTATTTCTATTTTGTTCAACTCAATTAATATGACTAGTTAATGATATCATATTAGACCAAACAGACTGATGCACCCAACTGTGGGTAAAACTGTTACTGGAAGTGCATGACATCATTCTATTTAGAGTGCATTATATAAATTATTTTGGCAAAGACCATTAAAGGTTTATGAGAACTAGCCAGCAAACCAGAAGTAGTAGTCTCTTTTCAAACAAATAATTGACAGGAAACTATCAAAAGCTTTGGCCTATTGCTTGTCCACCATTAAAAAGCATTAAGCCATGATACAAAAGGTCTTGTGAATCATAATTTTCTCATTTTAATTCCACTGATCCATTGCCAGATCAATTTTAAAAGTGAATTGAGACTATATAAGCCACATCTGAGTTTGAGAGCAATCCTCACTGTTCTGGAAGATGCGTGAAAGTATGTTCTTAGCTCAGTGGAAGAGAAAGAAATGGAAAAAGGAGTTCTGTTGCTTTTACAGAAAACTCCCCTGGTCATTTTGAAAAGTAGCATTCATAGACTCAAAGTCTGCAGATATCCCATACCCTCAACTAACAGGGTAGGCTTGCATTTTCAAAACAGTGCAGCATCATATTGTGTGTTTGCCAACTTAAGCTGGTGCCAAGCATCTGAAGAAGTCAGCTCTCACAGAAACACAGAAATAAAGGCTGCATTTTCAAGTGATGGGCCTTGAGTAATTTTGCCACTGGAATGTTCTGGAGAAGATATGTGACTGAATTCAGCTTCCTACTCATAAATGATATGCATTTGTCTTTGCCACACAGGTCAAAATACAATAAATCAGGGATGAGAAGCAATAGGGAATTCCAAAAGGCCTAACATAGTAAGGGAATTTTCAAATCCTACTGAGATACAATTCAACTTGATCTCAGGAACCATGTATTCAACCTCTGATCTCTCAACAAGGCAAGGACAACTCAAAACCAGGATCTGAAGAGCTGCATCAAGCCACACCATGAATGGCAAGTGATAGCTCAAATCAGACTTTCTGTAGGTCACCCCTGTGTCACCCCAATATCATGAAAGAACAATTCACGTTACTCTGAGCATTAAACATTACCAAAAACAATGACCTTAAGACACAGATGTAACTTTCAAGTAAAATACGTAGCAGTACAGAAGAGGAAAGTATAGAAATGAAAATTTGTAATCAAATCTCAACCTTAGTTACCACTACACCCTAATTTATTTTGTCTCAGATGACACTATGTCCCATTCATGAATCAGTCTATCTGAAATTTTTTTGGAAACATGCAGACATACTATTTCGCCAATGAATGTTAAAGGAGGAGAAAAGGAAAAATTTAGCCAAACCAAATATAGAATATTCGTAGAACATTATTTTAGTTTCCTACGTAAATGTTTCTAGGGAATACAAAGCAGGTCTCTCAGAAAGCCAACCAAGAGAACCATTTAATTAGCAAACAGTTGTCACATTGGTAACAACATCTGCTGTCAAACACAGTGATTAAATCTTGAGCTATTATTATCTATAATGAAGAAAAGTCAACATTACTAAACATTATCATAGGATCTCTTGCATTGAAAATATATACCTTTGTTATAGAACACTTCTGTCTCAAAAGCCTTTCATTCTAGCCACCCATCAATTAAATCAACTACATTGGCAGGACACTCAATTTTTTATTTCCCAAACTTATCACTCTACCACCTATTTTATGATGCGTTTCTCTTCTGCGTTCTTCAAAGAAGAACTAGCTTCAACTGTTCTTTTCCAACTTCAAAGGCAAAAGCCAAGGTCTTGAAACTGATCTGAAGATATCTGAGCTAGTATCTATAGTTTAAGTTATCAAGTATTCCAAGAAACCTGATGTTTTGTTTCCAAGAATACTATCACATGATGGATGGACAATACACAGTGAAAACAAAGTGACTCACATGAAAACAGCAACGTAACTTCACTCCAATTTGAAGCTTAAGTCTGTGTTATAAAGGACAAAATTCAGCATTTTCTTGGTAGTTTTTACTATTTTCACACAAATAAATAACTCTCTAAATTAATTTGATACTACAGAGCGCTAAAAGAATACTCCTATCACTAACTCAAGTACTGCAAAATTAAGTTACTCATGCAACTTAATTTTGCAATATAGCTTTGCACTGTCTTTTCCACATGCAGGTGTAAAGTCTTCAGTTATATGATCATACACTTTTTGAGAATAGGACCCGACCCTCATTCACTGCATGCAATGGATGGTTCTTAATAAGCATGAGGCTCTGCTATGCTCTGGTTCATAATCATTTTCACAGGTATTTGCCTTTTTTGCCAAAAGCTAGTGAAATACTGCTTTTTAGACACCAATATTCATTTCTTCCTGGCCTTTTAAAATTATCATTATTATTACACCTAGCACTACTACAATTAAGACCTTTTTTCCAATACCATATATCTTCAAATTATCCATGACTTCAGAACAGCTTCAACTGATTTTTGCAGTTACAAAAAAACTCAGCATTTCTGTGATAGGTCCCAGATTATGAACACATAACTGCTGATTTGATAAACTTATTCAAGTGATTTCCCCAGGATAATAGAGGGGCACAATGTGACAACAAAGTCACAGAAAATAGTTTTCTATTACTCTTTAATCTTTAACAAGGAACATTCATTCTCTTCCTTTCTTCATTCAGTATTCAGTCTCCATCCTGTGCAGAAAATGTGTCAAAAATCCCTGAGACAATGACTACCCAAGGAATGTGTGTACAATACCCTGTGCAGTGGATAAGAACAGGGTTTTGTGGGCAAGACCCACCAATCATAACGAAAAAAGACCAAGTGTACAAAGTGTACCTGCAGAGGCAATTTAATCACAATATTTTCTTATTGCTTGACTTCACAATCCTAAAGTGTTTTTTTTTAGTATTGCTTGTTTGTGTAATTCATCACAGGAGAAAGCATCTCATTTAAATTGTGATCTCCAGTTTACTAGGTATATTTGGTACTCAACAATCAAGATTCAGTCATGATAATGAAAACATTACATGAGGAAATGCATCTTTGAGAATAATCCTAAAGGCAGTGTTCCACTGGCAATGGCTTGGATAGAAGTGCTGTATTAATACAGAGTAATTGAGGCTAGAGAGCTTTGAAAGAGTTTCTGTAGATAATGATCTATATTTCTTTAGGTTTCTTTGCCTAAACATTTCATGCTTCCCGGGTTTACCTGACAATTCCTTAGGCTTAGACTCCTGAGCATACAGCAAGCTAAATTCTGAATAAGAGAAACATTTCAGGAGCACAAAGAACAAAAGCCTTTGTTTTTTGATTCAGCGTGTTTGGAGTAATTTCAAAAGCAAGGAAAATAAAAATTTCTCTGTCCTAGTAAAGACTGGGGACGTATGTTGTGGAGATCAGTCCTTTAGAGCTCGCTAGAGCAACATAACATGCAGCCAACACTTGAAAAGTAGATTATCTTTTGGGAAGACACAGACGCAGGAATTGGTGGGAGGAATACTACTGCATCTCAAAGGACTGTATGACTGAAATTTTTAAAAGTCAATTGGTTTTTGAGCGGCAGAAAGAATGAAGCATAGTTCGATATGAATTTACACCTTCAGTTTAATACACATATTGATTCTTTGACTTCTAAAAAAACACAAGTTCACACTAATCTTTTCCCTAGAAAAGGTATTTACATACCCTCTCTTCCTACAGCAACTTCCACAAAACTTACAGGAGTATCTTCAGGGTGGTCTGCAATTAATTTGGTCAATCTTTGCTGAAGGCTACTGGGGAAGAAGGTGCTATGAAAAAAGAAGGCACCCATCTTACCTCCAAAAGGGAGATAGGCTTGTGTGGTCAGTCTGAAAAAAAGCAGTTGCTGGTGACTAGCAGGCTTAAGAGAATCAAAAATTAAAAGACTGATATTCTCAAGAATTGTAAGCTCCAAAATATCAGCAATAGGATATATTTTTATTTTTACCTACAGTTAACAGTCAAGAATCAGACCACAAAGAGCACAAACACTTGAAGCTACTTTCAAGATAACTTGGTGTGCCAGTAACCCAAATCACTGGGAGGAGGAAGAGCTCCAATATCTCTTGAGAAGAAGCCTCTCATGCTTCTCAATACAAGACATAATAGAATAGCCTAAGATCAATGACCACACAAATAATTGAATTTAGTATATATATAAATGGATTCCCAGTGTAAAGCAGTGCTGGAGGTTTCAGATGCCAGGCATGAATATTTAAAGAGTTTTTTTAAAGATGTAATGAGAAAAAGTAGCACGGAACGTGTCTAGGGAATCTTAAGATTCCTACATCATCTCCTCAAACAATGCATATTGCAAGCACAGGTTAAGTAAAAAAAAATAGATGATGAAACACATTGGAAGTGCACATGGCAGAAGCAAGTATATATGAACTCAGTCACATAAGAATTTTAGAGAAAGAAGTAGTATCAAACCAAAATAAACTTCTTTGATGAAGAAATGAAGGACAGTTAACATAGGTTTTCACAGGTATACAGAATCAGGGACAAAGTATGAGTATTCCAGTAAAAGAGTCAACTTTTAGATTATTTATTTAGATTTTAGATTAATTATTTAGATTACATGCATAATTTAAGTTCTCTTTTTATTTTAAAAAATCCTTGGAAAAAATGAAGAAAATAGGTATAAACGTAGCTTATAAGTAAGTGGAGGTAAACTTAATAGATAAAAGAATATCATAGTATCTACACAAACCAAGCCAGGTCATATATGTTTATGAAACTGTGGACCAGTGAAAGCAAATCCAAACTACCTTCACAAGCCATTCGTAAAAACTGCTGAAAGATCAACTGGCATCAGAAATGTGGATAAATGTAGCATTCATTTATAATATACTACGCGGAAAAGTGACAAAGTCCAAATCTGGAAATTAAGGAAATTTCTTTAATGTAACATTAATGCCAACACCTTGGAAATCAAAACCATACTTGGAAGCAAAATAAGACACTAAAAACCAGAAAACAATGAACTACAACCATTAACATTCCTCACAAGAATAATTCTTACTGAACAGCCTTTTAAAATAGCTGTAGTATTAAAAGAGTATGAAAAGTTGAATTCTTTATGAAAGAAGTCTTTCCTTTCCTTTGCCTGAGCAAATACAACTATTTGTACACAGAGGCAATGCAACTGCATTTTAGTTAGGCACATGACACTTCAATCTGCCAATATCAGACACTGAAAATACCCTAATTGCCATAAAACTGTCCACACAACTTATGCTCAATGGAAAATATATACCAGAGAAGTTGGAAGTAACTATGCTACTTCTGATTTCTATGAAACGGGTTTGTCCTGTTCCTTGGCAACTGCACCATTAGCTACATTAAAAGCATGGACAATTCAGGACTGTGGGTTAATGTTTCCTTTCAAAGATTTCCTTTATACACATTATTATGCTCAGACCTCAAGTATTATAACCTCAAGTATTATAACAAGCATCAATAACAGAAATGCATTTGCATTTGGGTAACATGCATCCAAAAAATCAAGTTTTGAATGGTGTAACTCTTGTCCGGATAGTTAGCTACTTTGGTACTTAAATATCTCTATATTTCATATCTATTGTAAGGTCACATGGATGCTTTATTTTCTTCTGGATTCTAAGACAACCAGACTGTTACAACATTTTCACAGAACTTGCAGAGGAAAATAAATAGGGGTGTTTCAGGTTTATTATAAATATTTGTTTGCAAAAATATCATTTCTCCAGATATTATTAATTCTGAAGTCTTAGCCACACCTCCTTTTGCTTTGTGCTGGATTCATCTGTTGAATCATCAAAACACAAACACATCTACATCTCTAGCCCATCACTGGATGAGAGAATTTTTAAAGTCATAAATCTGTCCTCATCTGTCCTGCCTGTACTGCAGGATCAGGCAGCAGCAACAGAGCAAACAAGAACTGCAGGGAAAGTAGTCACAGCACTGAACAAAGTGTTCAGAATTTTTATATATTTTGGGCAGAAACTATCATTATGATATTTTTCCTGAAGAACGCTTATTCTGCAAACCAGTAAGACTATTTTATTTCATGACAAGCGAATCAAACAAACCATATCTTTTCTTGCAAACCGCCCACCCACCACATTCTGAACTGGTCACCACAGCAGAAGGAACCAGTTTATTGAAATGCATTAGAAAAAGGCACCTGGAACACGAAGAAGGTGAGCCTGATCATTAGCAGTCTCTCTGCCCAAAAGGAAGTGAATAGATTTTTCCCTTCAGGCTTTTTTTTTTTACTCATTATTTTCAGAATTACTACTTGTCTTAAACTTTCAGCCATCCGTCTACATATGCAGAATTATAAACAGGGGGAAGGAAGTGTTTATTTTACCTTCACAAGACAGGCCATGAGAAGTGACTCCAGAGAGGCTCTCTCTACACACGTTACAGAAGGTAGGTCGGGCATGGGAGCAGGCGTACCAGTTATGCATCCCTGAGAAATGTTCCACATTAAACTGTGCGGTCTAGTAAAGGAGAAGTTAAGACAAATTTGCAAGTACAGAACACAGCTACGGTGACTGAAATTACCTATGGTTCCATATTACAGGGGACAACAATGCAATGTTCACCAGAATTATTTTCCAAAGGGTATTTAGCCTGCTCTCCCTCCACACTTCTAAACAAAAGTGTGATAATAAGTTCTCATTTTGCTAGTAAAGGTCTTAACATGAAGCTTCACTCTGACATTACACAAACTTTTTACACTAAGGAGGTTGAATACTCCAGTTGTGTGTCCTATAGCTTGATCTGTTGAGCTAGAATAGGTTGCACCATGAGCGATGACAACTTACCTCATAGTGTTCTCTGGACTGAACGGACTTCAGAGAGCTTATCCAGTCCTCCATTTCTTTTCTGTTCTCAGCACACAATATTAGCCTCCTAAATGGAGTGATTATCTGAAAAAGATAACACATTCTGATTAATCCAGATAGTAAAGATCACGGTAAGACTATAATATTTAATGTACTCTTTCCTGCGAAAGGAAGACACTCCCTAGATCACAAGATGTTAAACAGTTAAAAATATTATCTTTAATACACTACCAACAATAAAGGAGTTTCCTTTTCCTTTTTCAGCTCCCAAGATTCAAATCAGGCTTCAGTATAGGTCATTACAACAAATATTGATCATTCCTCCTTCTCGGCTCTTTGTCTATGCACTGAGATTTAAATACTCAAATGGCAGGCACTGAAACTGCTAAAACAACCTTTCCGGAACTCACTAATTGACTAAGATTGCAATCCTATTTCATAACAGCATTATAGCAACTGCAAGGTCCCTTCCAATTGCTAGAGACAAAAACACATCAAAATCAAAAGCCTGGAAGTCTTAAACGACAACAAAAGCTTTCATCGTATTTCTCTATCTTGTAAATTGATATTAGATTTACACAAATTTAAACATATAAATTTAAAACAAAACTTTCTGTATAAAACTCAGTATAAGAACACATAAAAATCTCTACAAAACAACACAGAGAACAAAACCAAACAACTGAAATAATATGCTACTAGGATGGTTGAACAAATTCCTGGGAAAAGTTGATGCTCGGGAGTTTTCAGTGGTCTGGAGTTGGATTCTAGAAATCTAAAAACGCTGTATCTAGGAGGTTCAGAGTATAAGCTATTTTCCCCTCTCCCTCACCAGCAGAAAAATAATTAAAATAACAGGAAGGCACCAGAAACTATCAGCTAACTCCCACTGAAATTATTTTGAGCACTGCACTAAAATAGATGAAGCAGTTACTTACACAGCAAAGAATTTAAAATAAAATAAGTCCATGAAATTAAAGTTATTTGCTTTGTAGTAGGAAGTCTGAAAAATAAAATTAAATCCTTTATCAGTCTTATACATAAATCTATTGCACAGTATGTACCACCCACACTTGCAAATTACTTAAGTAAAACAAAAAAAGGACCACCAAAAAATTATAGGTCAGGGACTTGTTTTAAAGGCTAGATATTGTAACATTTGCACAGTATTAATAAACACATATTTACAGCTGCATTTACTTACCCAATCTCTGTCCTAGATAGTCTCTAGCCTTGAATTGTTCTATCCACTTCTTCATTTAAACTGAGCTGCACTTCAACATACCTCAGAGGCAACGTAACTGAAGTGCAGCAAGCTGCAAGTCACATGGAGGGGAGGCAAAAACCCTGTGGGCTTGCTTTTTTTTTTTTTTTTTTTTACTCACTTCACATGGAATGGAATAGTTTCTCTGGTTTTTATTTCCTTCAATCTTGCTTAAGCTTTTTAATAGGGTTTATTAGTAGCTCTCCACGGCTCTTCCTAAAGAACAGTTAATGCAAAGAGCAATGTTCCTCTCATTAGTTTGGAGCCAAATAGACGCTTTATTACTTCAAAATGTTTTTCTAGGCCAGGTCATCAAATGAAGCCCAGAAAAGCCATTAAATCATAATATAACCCTGGCTCCAACAACAATCAGCATTCTGCTGGAATTTCCAGGTTTCAGTTGACTCAGAAATCTTATTTGGGCAAATACACCCACCAGATTATTTCCTATTATATAGTATGATATTATAATACAGATTAAGTAAGGACAAGTCCATCCAAAACTCTGCACTTTTTGATTATTGATGGTAAACTGTAATCAGATGTTGTGAAATGCCATTAAGCAACAACAGCTGCATTTATTGCTGAACACTCCTGACAATCTTGATTTTTTAAAGTCATGTTTATTTATATTACTCATGTCTTCAATACTACTAATCACATAAAACCCCTGTGCATCCCCCCACTCTCCCCTCCCAAAATCGGCACCTTAGTTCAGTTACTTACACATAGTTATCTAGTGCCAATGGAGATGTCCTTTGGTATCCAAAGCATCAGCATGGGGCTGGTAAATGACAAAGGACCACAGCACCCAGAACAGCTATAAATAAGCCAGGTGGGACACCAAAGGTCATCTCAAAAGGTATTACATCCCCACATACCGGCAACAAAACATGTCACCAAACATTGCTAACTAGTGCATGTAAACCTACCAGCAATTCCTCTATCCCAACTTCTTAATAAATTCAAAGCATAACAAAAATAAAGTTCAGATCATTTTAACAGTCTAAAAGGCAGATTATACACTGATGATCACATGTAGGAGCAATTAGTGCTATAAAAATAAAGTGGAAAGTTGGAAGACATACATATATGTAAATATAGCACCTATAACATGATGATTAAACCACATATTATTTTTGATTTACATATTTTAACAACAAACTTCAAGAAGGTATATGATAACATGAAAAAAGACAAAATGCATTATATGCAAAAAATATTGACAATGCTTGGAATTTTTTAAAAAAAGAAAAAAGAGAGAAACTAAGCTATCTGTTTAGGTTCTCATCTATTTTAGTCTCTTAATCACGGACAAGATCTACTCCCATTATTTATTAGATATTTCATGTAACATAAGAACTCAGGGAACCAAGGAAATTATGAGCAAACAACAAGAAGTGTTTTTTCCTAAACATAACCCATTATTTAGACTTGAAAAGTATTCCCAAAGGACATCAAAGACACCAGAAGTATAAATGTCTAAAAAGGTATTTGCCAAATTCATAATGAATAGATACATCATATACTATAAAACACAGTATCTGAAACCTTCAAACTCCTCAAAATCCAATGAGTGGACTTTGGAAAGTTATGCAAGAAGAAGAATCACTGTACATGCTCTGCTGCTTACACTTTCTTGACTAACTGTTACTGCTATTATACTACTTTGATTCAGTATGGTTTTATGATCTTTATTCTAATTCACTATAGCTGTTCCTGTTTGTCCTTAAGTGGGAATGACCTCCTATACCTTCTTACTTGCATTTACACAGAACACATGTGTTCTTACGGATGCTTAAAGAAAGTTATAATTAACTAACATAAGTGGGATGTTTAGAATGCATTCATTAAAGACAGTTGAACCTGTATGCAGACATAATCGAAATTAAAATGGATTTGTTTTTTTTTTATTTTCCAGCCATGTAAGTTTGGATTTTACTAGTGATCTTATCTCATTGCATGTAGTCATATTTGAAGTCCTGTATTTTTTTTTTTCCTATGGACCAAAGTCAGTATCTTTTCTTCTACAATATATTCCTTTTTTTAAAAAAAATAATGCTCACTGTCCCAAATATTACTATTTATACATCACTGTGCTAAACTCTCAACAGACAAGAAAAAAATTGTATAATAGAAAGACAAAGAAGTGTCACAGGAACCACTGAAAGACCACTGAGTTAACATAAGAATAAGAAAATTCTTAACTCTTGGAGGAACTCAGGTGCGAATGGTTCACACGCTGAAAAAGCAGGAGACAAATCAAGAAGGATGAAGACAGACAAAAGGCCTCAAAAATAAATAAATCAAGTAGATTTAATTTAGAAGATTAAGTTACTTTGAAAATTTTCACCATTGTCAAGTAGCCAAGAAGTCATTGCTGATTTTGGAAGAGGGAGTTATTAAAGCCAGATACTGCAGTGTATTGGAAAGTAACGGAATTGACGTAGTGGGAATAAAAAATGCTTTTAACGCAGTAGGCATAGGGAAAGAGTGAGCATATACAATCTTAAAAGCTGAAGGTAAACAACACAAGTCCTAAAACATCACAGAAAATAAAGTATGTCTGGATAGGAAGAAAAATGGCCTATTACTGCGATACTGTTCCTGTTCTGTTCAGAAAAATAGGGGGCTTTTTGAGTGGGGAATGAAGGAGAGAACAAGAGGACATTGTTCAGTCTGCCACCACGTAGGTCTTGCCATAAATTGGGATTTTCACACTTGTTGACACTAGGATAATTTGGTTTCTAAAAATATATGCATATTCATATATATGTACATACGCATATGGAACTTACTTTGATGAAAATTACAATCAAGTTTTGGGCCACTACTGCAATTTTTCTTTCAGACAGCACTCATTAGAAACAAGCTTAACATCCTGAAATAAAACTGCCATTAAATTCAGTGTAAATCTGAAAGCATCTTTCACTTTCAAAGGGACTAACTTTACAGATAACATTCTATACACCTTCAACCCAGTGGGCTTAGACTTATGATCTGTAAAATGAAATCATAAAGAGCTCAATTAAAGCAAACTGCCTAATTTTAACACATTTTATCATGTCAGCAATATAAAAGAAAATACATTTCCCTAAGCTTTGTGGCTACATTTCTGTTTTCCTTTACCGATTCAAAGAAAAATGCAGACGCTACATCTGCTAATCAAGAAAATAATGGCCTACAGCTAAGCAGCAACATAGCAGCTACTGTAAAGCACCCTGCTTCCTGCAATATGATATTTGCATTAAAGCACCTTCTGTTGCTCTAAACTATTATCAGGCATTACCCTAATAGCACTTTATATGGCTGATCTTGAATTGACTTAGTAATGCAGAAACATCATTTAGAATCTGAAATGGGCGGGGAAATGGTTTTCCTGTTCTGTGAACAGATATTTTTAAAATATCTTTCTGGAACTAATGAAGAGAGGGTGATATAAAGAGAGAGAGCACCCCCACCTCTCCTCTTAGGGACCACACCCAATGTCTGGGGCACGAACATAACAGATTTAATGCTTTGTAGCTTTTCTGTCCTTCTAGACGTCAGCAAGTTGAGTTCTGGCAAATACCTGCATACCATGTTATGCCTCCCTTGCTTTCTGTCTGATGCTCCATTTCCCTGTCCTCATGCAGGTGGGTCCATATGAATGTGATGGATGAATGCACCTCCATCACAGTGGTGGGAGTAGACTGCTAGGGTCATTGATGCTCCCATACCTACCAGAACTTACCTGCAGAAATCACAGTGCTAACAGTTGGGCAGCTTTCTACAGTACTTTAGTTTCTTGGATTCAGGATAGTAAATAAATTATAACAAC